TATTATCTGTTCCATAAGGGTGAGTTGTACAGTTGTAGGGAGAAGAAAATATATGCATGTATTTTTATTAGTCAAATAATCATGTAATCATGTAAATTAAATGAGCTTTGGCCCTTGTTTACAGTATGGTTGCTGGGTAATAAAACTGAAATGATGATTTATAATATGTCATATCTGATGCACGTGTTTTTAACTATCGTATTTTCCGGGCTATTAGGAGCTCTGGATTATAAGATGCACTGTCATTAAATGGTCTATTTTCAAACTTTTTTCACAAATAAACCACACTGGACTTTAAAGGAAACCCAACAGTGTGATGGGTGAGTGGTTTTGTTTGTTTGGTGAGTTCACAGTGACTCTGGGCTTTGTTCAGTTGTGGTGTGTAGGGAGGGTGCTGTCTGGGACCAACGGATTGTCGGCGTGTTCACAGTGACTCAGTTGTTGTCGTGTCTAGAAGTGGCACATTGCACTCGCTTTTTCAGTTCGTTCCTCCGGTCAGTTCCTCGTCGGCGTGGAGTGATGAGTGTGTCTGTGGGTGTGTTTGGTTGTGCAGTCGCTGTCTGCTCCGTGTGTGTTTGTGTGTTCTGTGGGTGGTGTGGCTTTGTTGTTTACTGAAGTCGTGCTGGGACACCCGAGTGGATTTGTGTATAGGTGCTCTGGACTGCGGGGTGCGCAGTCATTTTCTGATGGGTCTAGAGGCTTAAGAGCGCGTCTAATAGCCCGGAAAATACAGTAATTTGTTTAGTTTGTTTATTTAATAAGACAGGGACAGTGCACAATATACATTAACCTTAATAGGAGAGATGCTTTGTACCTGGTTGTAGCGCCAGTGCTCATTTCCACATGTAGTCCCTGGGCAGGTTGATGTTATATTCATAAAATCAAACATGTTAGCGGAGCATATAAAGTCATAATTTAGTAAGAATTGTGCAAATTATGATAAAAGCATGAAATTTGGAATTTTCAACCTTCACAGGTTCCTGGTTAATTCTGATCGATTGGCCATTCAAAATTCCAAGATGGTGGCCATTTTTCAAGATGGCTACCAAAATGTTGCAGGAAAACATCTTTTGCATATAGACTTGGGTAGAGTTTGTCGATTTTATCCATTTTGGTGTCTATTTCAATATTGTCAACCTCTCTGGTGTCAAAAGTGTTATTTCCATAACCCTCTGATTTCAAATTTCAGTCATTTTGAAGAATTAAAATTAATTTTAATCTCCTATCCTAACTGATGCATATCCATTGGCATTGGTAATTGATGGATGTAGTGGTACCTTAATCCAGTAGTCAATAACAAGTCTTGCATGAACTAATGACAATGGTAATGATTGGTCCAACGCTCATCTATGGCTGCAAGAAGTTGCAGCATATAGGAATGGCTGCAAAATAGTAAACTATGTTGGCTCGCAGACTAAACTAGATGAGGGTTTGCACAGAACTGCTTGTAAGAAGTACTCATCAGTAAGATGTGCACTAAATTGATAAGTTGAAATCAAAAGGCCATGACCTAGTAAACAAGTTATTTTTTTAGAAGTCATTTGTCCACAATGAGCATAGTGTGAGGTAATCAACATTTTGGCAATGGAGTGATTGTCAGGCACTACCAAGGCAGATTGGTGACATCACTGCTGTGGAACTCAGCATAGGGTTTAGTGTCAGCTAGGTTAGAAATACATGTCAACATAAACAACTTAGCATCCCAAATGCTACCTGATCAGTCCCTACATCGGTTGGGTAGCCGCACCTGAATTGACAGGATGTGCCAGCGCGGGAAAGCCGAGCCAAGGATAACAGGGGTTATAGTTATCTGGATGGTGTACAGATCGCACGGGACTAATGACACCAGATAGCCCTACACAAAGTGTAGGGCTACTGCATGAACTTAGCTGCATCCCATATAGTAAAGTGCTTATTATTAATTACAGGGTTGTAAAAGAATAAACCCTCGACATTGGCAATCCATTGCATTGGGGATGGAAAAATGGTGCACAGTTTGGTCAACACTTCCTCCAATTGCTGCATGCTGTCAGGAATTGACCAAATGTGCATGCAAGAAAAATTGTCAAGGAAGATGCAAGTGCTATAAGTCGGGCCTTTCTTGTACAACACTTTGCAGTTGTGTATGTGATCAGTAGTAGTTGGGGAATGAACAAGGTGTCTCAAAAAGTTTAAAGTTCATTTTTCCTGGTTGATTAGTATGATGTTTAAGTAAATGTCATCTTGTTCATATGCTGAGAAAATGAGAAAATGATGTTACAAAATGCAGTTGCTTAGTTTTCACAAGGAAATCTACACAATAAGGATTTAAAAAAAAATTCAGTTGGCAAACAAGTTGCACCTTAGTTCTGTTATTAGTAAGATCAGTCATCTTACTGTATTTAACCTATACATATTTCAATCATCATGGCTCTGGAATTAGGTTCATTATTTTGTTGAGTCATTATAATATTCATTGTAGTTGTCATTTTAGTGACTAAAACTGTATTAAGATTGATGAATAACATATTTTGATGGTTTTGATTTAATAAGAGTTTTGTATCTCAATAAGAACATTTTGTAATTCAATTATCAAGCACAATGCATCATATTTTTGTTGATGGTTAGACAATTCATGAAATACATACAGTATTTCATATTTACTCATATTTCAGATATTCAGGTCACGATTTTAAAATTCATTTTTTGTTAGTTGATGTAGTTTTAAATGTTGTAGCTTTCTAGTCACAGAAGAATTTGTGTGTGTGTATATATATATATATATATATATATATATATATATATATATATATATATATATTATTATTATTATATCTAAGATGTTTCTGTGATTTGTAAATGCCATATGATGATGGCAACAAATTTAGTGTGAAGCTGATCTCTATGCCATAAATTTCTTGTGGTTTTTAATTAAAGTGTACTTTAAATATATTTATTTATGACTATATTGACTAGTCAATCACTGAAGGATGCTTTAAAATCTACAAATAGAAATCACAATCATTAAAATTGTCCAACTATGCAAAATTACATGACAAAAGCCATGTTTGTTGGGATGGCTTGGCGGCCATCTTGAAAAATGGTTGCCATCTTTAATTTCCAAATGACCAATCAGGTAAATTTGATCTGTATATCCCAAAGAACACTTCTGCCAATTTTTTTGCTTTTATCATAATTTGCATGATGTTTCTGTTATATCCTCTGCTATATAAAGAGAATGTCTTTATAATGTCCAGAGCATCATAACAATTCTGTAACATCATTCACTTCCAGTTCCCTCAGCATCTTAAAACCATCATCCTTATCAAAAGCATCATTCATTTCTTTCAGTCCAGAGCATCACTCTCTCTTCTCTCATCAGACACTCATCAGTCCACACTATGGGTGCAGGTTTGGTTTGAGAGGAGCCACTGTTTCACCAGGTGTGAAAATGTGCCATAGTTTGTACATGTGCTCAGTTCTGTTGGTAACATGTTCCACGGACGGACGACCGCGCATGAAAACTAATTCTTCAACTAGAAAACGAGACACGATTATTAATAATGTAAATAAATTAGAATGAAACGTGCAGTCTAAGCGGTTATATGCACTAAAATGAAAACTATTGCTAATGTGCAGGGACATCACACAGGGGGTGTTTTAAATGTATCTCTATGGTGGAATGTTCAGCAGTTATAATGGTGCATATTTCAGCAAACACCGTCAAAAACATTTAGAGATAAAACTCAAGAAAAAAAAAATACTACATTGATTTTAACAGCACATTTTCAGGAGCCCGTGGTCGGTTTGAGCGTTCAGTTTCCTGTTTAGGTGCACAAATCATCCCAGCTGTTGTCAAGTTCCAATCATCTAAATTAAACTATCTCTTTCTGGTCAGATTACGTTGAAATAAAGCTCAGATTAAAGTTAAACAAGCCTCAGATAGAGCAGTGCTTCAGTTAGCATCACACCCCTAGAGGACGTTGATGACATCCATTACAACGTATCTGTACATTCAAAAATGAGTGTGTATACATGCACATCAATAACCCGGTTATTAGCCATATCCTGGTTCTGTCAGTATTCGGGTTACTGTGTTTACATGTGCACTGAGAAACCGGGACACTCATATCCGCGTGTACATGATCAAATGGAGTATCCCGGTTTCTTGACATAATCTTACAAATGCACAAGCAAAAAATTAACTTAAATCAATTTCATAAACCAAGAAAAATAGAAACCGTGAGCTCCTTTAGCATAAGAAGCTAAGGAGCTCTGAGATCTCCCACAATCCACTGCACACATCAAACCCAACAGATTCTTCATTAAAATCTTCTGCATAAATAAACTCAACTTTACAACATATAAACCAGAACCACTGTAGAGCCACATCAGCCCGTTTGATCAGATCATTCAGCTCTGATCACATTTGTTTACATTTTACAGGAACAAAACTTAAAACTGCATGGCTCATTGTGCCGCTGATGCGATCAGCTTCTTTTGGACTAAATGACACGACTCAGTGGATTATGTGTGTTCTTTTTGTGACAGAAGAGGCGCTAATGATGATGGTGAGTCTATTCTGTGCGTGTGTTGTATAGGAGATAGTTCATGTTTTAGTTTTTCAGTGATCACACGAGTGCAGGTTTAACGCAGCTCTTCATTTTACAGTCATTTTACTCGTTTGGTCACTTTATTTATGTTGGTCACTATTTATGTCACTACTGTTGTGGTGAAAAGACTGAAAAGTGTCTTTTGGATGATTGTGCACTCAACTTTATGTTGCAGTAACCGGGATACTGCGTATACATGCCACAAGTATCCCGGTTACTATCGGAATAAACCAGCTACAGTAACCCGGGTTCTGATAACCGGGATACTGAAACCGGGTTATTGTGTATACATGCACCATGAAGAAACCGGGATACTCAAAAAACCCGATCATAACTGGGTTATTGATGTGCATGTATACGCACTCATTGTCTACAGGAAGTACCACTAAAGTTCATGTGTTTTCACAGAACGTCGCCTGAATTATCCAAACTGCTACTGGCTCCGGCCAACTCTCCTCTGCAGTATCCCATTCAAGGTGTGACTGTTCCTCCACTGAAGGAGCGCCTCATCCCAGGTACAGCCGCTCTCTTCACATGGAACCACACACACACGATCAGTCAGTAACATGAGTTGTCTTGGTGACAGGTTTAGCGCTGCATGCAGGAGGGCGGAGCAGATACAAGGTTAGTCTGTGGGTGTGGTTTCTGTCTTGGCATCAAAGCAGAGCTGCGCGGAGATTCCGTGTGACGACTGTAGTTTTACGAGGATTCATGTGGTTTGGAGGGACTGGTGTGAATTTTATCCATGAGAATACGAACTGAAATGTTGAGGCATCAAGAATTATAATTACAAACTGAAAATGTACGATTACTTTCTTCAGTACGAATACAAATTCACAGACGCAACTCAACTGTCAAAAATACAAGCATCACTTCACAGGCTTATTTACTGAACAGAAGAAACACCAGGTCTAAACCAGGACTAAACCAGGTCTAAACCAGGACTAAACCAGAACTGAAGCAGGACTGAGTGTTGGGACGGGCCCGGAGGTGCGTCCGCATAGACCGTCAGGTGATCGTGGGTGAAAAGACTGACACAGAGCTCCGCACATCACAGGACTAAGTGCAGCCATCTCTCAAGTCCAAGATTAGTCCCGGTTTAGTCCTGGTTTAGTCCCGGTTTAGACCCGGTTTAGTACTGGTTTAGTCCAGGTATCAGTCCCGGTTTAGTCCTGGTTTAGACCTGGTTTAGACCTGGTTTAGTCCTGGTTTAGACCTGGTTTAGACCTGGTTTAGTCCAGGTTTAGTCCTGGTTAAGTCCTGGTTTAGTCCTGGTTTAGACCTGGTTTAGACCTGGTTTAGTCCAGGTTTAGTCCTGGTTAAGTCCTGGTTTAGTCCAGGTTTAGACCTGGTTTAGTCCTGGTTTAGTCCCGGTTTAGTCACAGTTTAGTCCTGGTTTAGTCCTGGTTTAGACCTGGTTTAGTCCTGGTTTAGTCCTGGTTTAGTCCAGCTTTAGTCCAGGTATCAGTCCTGGTTTAGTCCTGGTTCAGACCTAGTTTAGTGCAAGTATCAGTCCCGGTTTAGTCCCGGTTTAGTCCCGGTTTAGTCCTGGTTTAGTCCTGGTTTAGTCCTGGTTTAGACCTGGTTTAGTCCTGGTTTAGTCCCGGTTTAGTCCCGGTTTAGTCCCGGTTTAGTCCCGGTTTAGTCCTGGTTTAGACCTGGTTTAGTCCAGGTTTAGTCCTGGTTTAGTCCTGGTTCAGTCCTGGTTTAGTTCTGGTTCAATCCAGGGATCAGTCCTGGTTAAACTTTCAGAGGCAATAAAAGCAGACGTCCCAAATGTGAAAACGTTCTTGAAGACGTGGACACCCGCGGGTTATCGACAGGTGCGCTCAATAGTCTGGAAATGATGAAAAACACCCGTTTTACTTATCAAAATGGTGAAAATGTCAACACAGCTATAGCTCTTACACAAAAGAATTTAGTAAAATATACCAAAAATGACTCTTGGTGATATCGATACAGCAGCCCACGACATCGATACAGTATCAAATTGTCATCAAATTAAATGAGATGATGCACTGATATTTCTTTTTCGCACACCCTGATGTATCATTATTAAGCAGCAGCTGCACCAAATAAAAAGAATGAAGTAATAATTAGCCATAGAACTTACTTATCCAGCTCTTGAGCTCGAGTCTCCCACTATTGCAAAGAAATTGTACACAAGATACATACTGATCCCTAAAATATATTGTTCCATCGATGATATATTCGATGTAATAATCATTGTGACAGGCCTACAAGCAGTAATTGGAGTATTTCTGTAACCATGTAACTCTGTCCATCTGTTCAGGTGACCCTAAAAGTCAGCAGAGGCATCTTCAGTACAAACACCGTACTTTTTCCTGAAGAAGTGACAGTTCAAGGTGAGCCTCCTGGTTAATGTGTGTCCAGGGAGGGGGGCAAACGCGGCCCTCAAACCTTCTAATAAATTGACCAAATGACTAGATGCATTTTTGTGACAATCCGGTACTAAGATTATTTCAGTAGTCAGATTTTGGGGGAATAAAGACTTGAAAGTAACGTTCTGAGCCTGAATGCGGTGGCAGAACCTTTGTACCGTATTTTCCGCACTGTTAGTTGCTCTGGATTATAAGGCGCACTGTCATTAAATGGCCTATTACCAAATTTATTCACAAATAAACCGCACCGGACTTTAAAGGAAACCCAACAGTGTGATGGGTGAGTGGTTTTGTTTGTTTGTTCGTTCACGGTGACTCTGGGCTTTGTTCAGTTGTGGCGTGTAGGGAGGGTGCTGTCTGGGACCAACGGATTGTCGGCGTGTTCACAGTGACTCAGTTGTTCAGTTGTGTCTAGAAGTGGCACATTGCACTCGCTTTTTTGGTTCGTTCCTCCGTTCCTCGTCGACGTGGAGTGATGAGTGTGTCTGTGGGTTTTTGTCGATGTCTGCTCCGTTTGTGTTTGTGTGTTCTGTGGATGGTGCAGCTTTGTAGTTTAGTGAAGTCGTGCTGGGACACCCAAGTGGATTCGTGTATAGGGTGCTCTGGATTGCGGGGTGCGTGGTCGTTTTCTGATGGGGTTGGAGGCTGAAGAGCACGTCTAATAGCCTGGAAAATACAGTAATCATTTGAACGACTCAATGTATTAACACCAAGCACCAGTATGGCCGTCTGCTTCTTGTATGATGTGCGTGGAGCAGCCCTGTGTTAAATGGTTACTGACTATTTTTTATAAAAAGAAAAGATGGCCACACATATAAATGCAATAGATTTCACATAAACAGATACTTAGGTAGAGCTTTTCTTGCTAATGACACAATGAAACAAGTGCGAAACGAGTGCAAAGTACAAATGGCCAAGAGTCAAGCCAGTTTGTCTTTAACTAAACTTTGTTACTAAGCTCTGATAAGATAAGATAGTCCTTTATTGTTTCCTTTATTGTTTCCTATGGGAGAATTTTGTTGTATTTATTGTTTCCTATGGGAGAATTTTGTCTTGGGACAGGGGATCACATGCTTTATCAAAAAACAAGACGACAGAAAGCACCACACAAACATATACCATAGAATAAAATAGATACGAGACCAAGTATCGGGGTTGTCCCGATCTGATCACGTGACTGTGGACTCTATCCGGACTCAGCCGTCATGGTCTGATTAGGTATCGGATAAATAATATATGTATATAACACACAGTACAAACAGCACACAACAGTTTTGTTTTTTTTACTAAGGTGTGAGATTTGCTCAGGGACGTCCAGTCAGCGCGACTGTCCCAGTGCCTGTTGTACTAGAGACACACTTTCACTGGGACTTCTGGGCTGTCGTACTCGGGCGCTGTTACCTGTGGTTCTGTGGCCCGTGTTTACACCTGCGCGGCCGATGGCGTCATCACACTGTTGTGGCGCTGTTGGTTTGCATGTTGCTCTGTGGAGTTGTTGCTTTTGGTGAAGAGGAACAGCGGCATGAAGTGTTTATTGAGCGGTGGGAGCGATGTTACGGTGTGCTCCACTGTGGGTTTGTGGATGTGGTGGTGGTGGTGGTGCGGGGGAGAGAGGCTGTGGGGCTTCTGTCATCTCGTTTTTATTAGGTAAGATTTTGTATTATTTGGATTTCATAGATGAGCCTAAATGTTTCAAATATAATGCACATGCAAACATATAATATCAAATGTACAAAGTGTAGATTGTGCGGAGTCTAGTTTCAGGTCTGATCTGATTCTGGTCTGGTTCCTGTTTTGTCCAGTTCATTAAGTTTACCAAGTTACACATTCCAAGACCAGACTGTGGTAAAAGTCAACATTTTCAACAATGATGGTTCATGGTTAGAAAAGTTAATAAAAAAAATAAAATAAATATTTTCACACTAAGTTACCAAATACCCAAATACGCCACATTGAAATCAACACAATCTGATCCCCCCACACATCCTGGATCTTATTCTTTGCTCTTAGTTCATTTCATAATTTTTATACAAGTATCGGATCGGAACTCGTTATCAGCAGATACTCAAAATCAAATGACTTGGACTCGGACTCGGGGGCATAAAATGTGATCGGAACATCCCTACCAAGTGTGACCATGAGTGATGCCCCAACAGGACCTTTAAATCATTCTTTACAGGCGAGCTCTTGCATTCTTCTGTTCTGTTAATAATTCAACATTCCTTGACCTATGTGCGGTTTTGATTGCACATTCCCTAAGCCTTTTGCAATAATTTTTTTAACTGCACTATCAGAGTTTAGCAGATTAACAACACAAAAGGATGTTTGAATCTGTTGAGTTTACAGTTTGGGAGCCTGAACCTTCTGTTAGTAAACTCTGTTACTAGTGACTTCTAGTGTGAAGTAGTGATGGGTGACACCAGTGATTTTGATTTTGATCCAGTACCAAACAATACAAGTAGAAATATCGATCCCACACTGATACCAATCCATTTTCTATTAAAGGCCCTATATTACACAAAATCAACTCTTGTGAACTTTAAGCCATGTTAGAATGTTGTTACCTTATCAAAAGAACAAACCTGGAGTTTTTGTTTTGTTTTGTTTCATTCACACATGTCCCTTTGTTATTAGTCTGTCTCAAATGATCCAGATGATTCTAATGAAGGTGTATGGATCTAAATGTGCAGGATTTGTGTGTTAAACATGTGTGAAACAAAACAAAAGCTCAGGTCTGTTTGTGACGAGGAAACGACACCTAAATATAGAACATGCCTGGACCACAACAGTTTTAACTTAAGTACATTTTAAAATACATGTTCAGTGTTACAACCTCAGCATTTTCAGTGTTTTCAGACATTAAGGCATGGTTGCTGGTACCCAGAGCTTACAGTTGCTCACATGCTGAGCAGGTTTAAAAAGAGATCGTCGTCTTCTATAGGCGAGTTTCATCTGACGTCATTGTTATTAAAAGCCCGCGTTGCATGCTGGGAAATATTTTGGTCGGAGGCAAGAAACAGGATAGCGGTCAAACACAGTGCGTAACCTTGTGTATTTATCCCCGATAATGGTAAATTCCTGCTGCATTATCGGATGCACAAATAGAAGGACGGAAGAAGGAAAATGTCTTTTTCGTATTCCGAGTGAAAAGAACCGCTAACGGTGAATTAAACGACTTTCAAACATCCACAGAGCAAACGCAGAAGATCCTAACAAACCGTGGACTCCAACAAGTTCAACAACACATCGAGACTCTTGGAGGTTTTCATCTTTTCTGCTGTGAATGACCCAGGAGTTTCCACCAAGTCATTGTGGATATCACCAAAGTGAATATTTGTCCAGGTAGTTGGCGATTCCAACCAGAAATTTGGTTTGGTCCAGGTTCTGTCGGGGTTGAAAAGGGTGATTTGTCGTCAGTCGATGCTTATGACCAATTTCTGGTCTAATCATCTTGGGTCCTCTGCCCTTAGAGTGGATAAATAACCGGGATCAATACCCTTTACGTGCTTTCTCGCTCCGTCCGTCATGTTGAATTAGTGTTTCTTGCCACCGACCAAAATAATTCCCAGCATGCAACGCGCGCTTTTGTCAACAATGAAACTCGCCTATTACTCCCATAGTACAAAACCTCTATTTTCTTTTTAGACTAAAGTTCTAAAAAGGACAACATTGTTTGGTTTTGGGTGTGATAAAATAGACAAATGATGTTCTGCAGACATTGCATTACCTGTTCCAGATACAGTTCATTCTGAGAAGATCACAGCAGGTCTGCAACACTGCAGCTTCTTCCTGCTCACCTTGAAGCCTAAAAAGCTAACTTGGTCAGTACAGTTTAAGTAGCCTCTATACAGGCCAAAGGAGTGGGTGACACCAGGAGGATATCATCCATGTACTGAATCGGCACCACACCATCAGGAAGAACCAAATCCTGTAACAAGGTTTTAGAGTTTGATTAGACAGTCCTGGACTTAGTTTAAAACCTTAAGGTAACCTTGTGTTCTGTAATTCACAGCCTTATAAATAAATGCAAAATAGAGTCTGCACTCCTTCACTAGAGGGAGACAGAAGAAGTGTTAACTAAATCTAATACCATGAACCATTAATATTGTAGTTCAAGGGTTGTCAAAATCCTATGAGGATCTGGAGCAGGAAAGAAAAATGTTATTGTCACATCATTAATAGCTCTCAAATCATATGCCAAACCATAATATTGACTGTCATGTTTTTGTTTAGGTAGGATGGGAGTGTTCCAATCAGAATCAGATTTGTCCAATACCTCTGCATCTCACAGCCCACATATTATCTTTTCAATTTATTCTGCTGCTTCTTGTTTGATTTCATACTGTAAAACATATACAACCTGATCTTCCTTGATGTCAATTTTAAAGGGTGCAAATCCAGAGCAGAATGCCACATCTGTTGGGCCTCCAGAGCATGTGTGGTCAGGGAGAGCCTCCTGCATTTGAGTAGAATCCTCATAATCAGTATAATCTCTACCATGAGTCCTGGTCAGTATTTCATGCTGCAAAAGAGTAGAATTAATCATAAAAGTATACATTATATAGAAATGCCCTGTGGCCATGATCCACGCATTTTCACACATTTATCATAATGCTCCCCAGAATCTAATCCAGGAGTCCTTGACAGGACAGTTGGAGTCTCTACAGGTTTTGGAAACAACTCTTTTACAGCCTGAAACATTAATAAATTCAGATAGCCTTAGAGCCTCACCCTTGTAATTTTTAACTTTGGTTAAACTTTGGTAATTTATCAACTAGGGCTGTGGGGTCTCTCACTCCAAAAGGAACATAGTCTCCCAACCCCCATCCACTGGTTTAAGTGAGACAAATAAGCACCCCCTTTCTGCTCTTTTTTTAGTTGTCCATAGTTGTTTCAATCATTTTACTGTTTGTCTGTGCAGTGACAGAAGTGTCACTATTGTATTCAGTAGTCTCATTATCCTCATCACAGTCTTTGTCAGTGTCCTCCTTGTCCCATTCAGTCAAATTATGGACTCCTTTCGGTTTTACACCTTTCTTGGAGGCTACAGTCACCTTTTGGTCTTGTCTTTAGTCTCTAGTCCCTGTTGTTATACTAGTTCTCTCATGACCTCTTCCTGACCCTTCATAGTATCACAGATAAATCTAGTTTGTTCTCTCAATTCCTAATTTTCTCTATGCAGTAAGTCTTAGTCCATTCTCATTTGTTCTATTTTAATTTCTTCTTCTGTACTTTTTTTTTGTCCTTCCTCTATGTCCTCATCCTGTCAGTCACCTTCTCCCTTCTATCCTCTAAACTCCTTTTCAAGATATTGGCCTCTATTTTTGATATTCCAATTTAGACAAGTTCATAGGAGTGTGTCCTACACTCAATAAGCCAAAATGCTCACTCAGTCCCATTCATCTGAGCCAGAGTCTGATGGACTACATGGTCTCTGTCGCCTCTCCCCCATGTCTAGTCAAGCTTTGGGAGTCCTCTCTAATGTTGTATCTAACTTTTCCTAACATTTCCTTTACAGGCGCCATTGTCCCCACAGGAGGCCTCAGTGTACACTGGGGGCGCAATAGGTGCAGTGAATAATGCAGAATACACCCATATATTTTCAGTTGTATGTGTTTGTTTATCACTTAAAAATTCCTTAGTATGCAGTTGTTTCTCTGCCTTCTGTGTCTCTCTGTATTAAACCAATTGCACCTGGGCTGCAGCCACCTTTGCCAATACATATATTATCTCCTCACCTACCACTTATCATATCATACTATACCAAATCTATTTATCATTATTATTAATCATTATTATTACTTATAACTATTTATTATTTATACAGCTGGCCACAGTGCTGTACACACAGGACAAACAATGACAACACAGTACAAACACAATACACCTACTAAACACTAAACACTAAAACAGGAAAATAGTCCATCCCAAGAAATATACACTTACACTAAATGAATTTCTACTCTGTTTCCTTCTTTAATTCTAACTTTCTCCACCATCAACCACCCTGACAATTTCACCCATGACACTATCTGTTCAGATTTCAGGCCTTCTGCAACTTTTCTTTATTCCTTCTTATATTCATTCTCTTATCCAGCTCAAAACTCAACACTTGCTGCTCCATCTTCTCATACAAATCACTCACTGGCAGACACCCCCTCTCCTCACATTCGCTGCCACACTCCACATCCATAACGTACTTTAACCTTTCAACTTAATTACACAAAGCAAAAGTAATTCACACAAAAATAAATATCTTACCTGTTTCTGAGGGACCCAAACTCCCCAAGGTATACAGGAACCTCACAATGTTACACCACGTCTGGTGTAACGCCAGTCTACGGCGAGTCAACCTTTCCTTAGTACTTTTCACTGGGCAGTACTTCTCTCCTCAATTTAATATATCCAATAGCAGAAATTCGGTTCCGTAGAACAACAGGTTGTCTGCTTACCTTTTGAAAGTGGCGGCCGCTCTTGGAGAGAAATCCCGTCAAGTGGAGGGTGCGGAGTCCTACTCCAATCATTTCATGGGACTCTAACCCAATGGGACTCTAACCCAACTTTACAATATTAACTTAAAAATCACAACATACCTTTATCACGTCAGGGTCACCAATAAACTGTTAGGTGTGTTCTATCAAAAATTACTAGACTCAATCAATTTAAATTACAAAAATTTATTCCCCTGACAATACAATTCTAATACAGAGCTCTGGGTCAAATCGTTGTCCCTAACTGCCTACAAAGTTACAGAGGGCTTACATCAGGCATCTGACTCCTTCTGAATACTTCAACCCATTTTTTATAAACATCCATATGAATATGCATATATGTTGAGCAGGTTCCCGCCTTGAATCGTCGCCTTGAAGTGTCAGCATTTCTTCTTTGGGGGAAGTGACAACCCCCTCCAAACCATTGTAAATCACACCAAGTCTGTTTAGATAAGCCATCTGGTTATCTCCACAGTCCAGTTCTGCAAAGGAATTTGCTTAGAAGCACGTAGGTCACCCATTATGTAGGAAACACAGTAGTACTATTCAACAGATAAGATCTCAGTGTTTAAGCTTCAACTCAACGTGTAACTTCATTAAACAATATTCAAACCACCACTTGATACAGCCTTCAATTTCAAAATACTTGTTTCAATACACACCTACATACATTTCTGAATTGGTAGTGCCCTATAAACCTTTGAGAAGTCACAGATCCTTGATCACAATCTTTGTATGATCTCTCAGGACTAAATTTAAAGTCACGCACCCAGAGACCCATCTCCGTGATCTTGTTGCTAGTCTTGGTCAGGACTGTGTTGCTGGAGGATTTGATCTCTAGTGCATTTTTGGGGTTTGGTCCTGAGAAAACCCACCCAGACACGAGGAGGATGTGCAACTCCACACAGAAAGGGCTGTGTGACCTGTGGCTGCGGGATATACTTTATATTCAAATCCTCAAAGTAGCCACCCTGGTAACACTTTATAATCACTACACCTTATTTAGCCTTAATAAAGCATGAACAAAAGCTTAATTAATAATGAACAAAGACTTAATTAATAATGATTCATGCTTAGTAACTACTTAATTACTACCTTAATTAGCACTTGTCTTAATCTGCCTGTGCCCTTAAACTTAACAATTTCTTCATCTGACACCTTCTCCATACTTGTGCTGAGATCTTCTTTGGTTCCTCCATGAGTTGACCTCTCATCCTCTTCATCTTGCCATTTTTTTGCGTGTGTGTGTGAATTATTCACATATAGTACGATGCAATTAATTTACCTACAATTTTCCATTTCACTCTTAATTTTGGAAAGAATATTATAATTATTATTATATTTTTTGACTGTTTACTCTGGGTGTACATTGATGGTAAAATAGCTCAATAATGTCAAATACATGCACCAAATATATAAAGTGTGCACATGTATGAATAGACTAAAGGTAGATGAGATCTGAGTATATGTGTATTTTATGGTCATTTAAAAATGGATAACAAATGTGAAGGTGACCAGTGGGTTAACATAAAGAGAAAAAAAAAAAAAAAACATTAAATGAGATGAAAACATTGAATGAAAACATTGAATGAGAAGGTGTGTCTAAACTTTTGCCTGGTAGTGTCTGTATCTTCTGTATCTCTTTGTTGTGTTGTGTTGTTGTTGTTGTTGTTGTGTATGAAATGTGCTACATTTAGTTCTACTTGTGGCCCTACATTCACCTTTTAGCGTGACATCTATTTTCTTTCACCATCTTACAAACACTTTACAATATCATTTCAAACACAGGGAACCAAGAGGCCAATTTCACTGTGGAGTCCACAAGCCTGCAGCTCCTGAACTCTGTGCTGGCCTCAGTGTCCTACAAAAGCACTGTTTACCATGTCCACACTGGAGATCTGGGTAGGTCTCTCTCTCTGTCCTCTCTCTCTCTGTCCTCTCTCTCTCTGTCCTCTCTCTCTCTGTCTCTCTCTCTCTCTGTCCTCTCTCTCTCTCTGTCTCTCTCTCTCTCTCTCTCTGTCCTCTCTCTGTCTCTCTCTCTCTCTGTCCTCTCTCTCTCTGTCCTCTCTCTCTCTCTCTCTCTCTCTCTCTGCCTCTCTCTCTCTCTGTCTCTCTCTCTCTCTCTGCTCTCTCTCTCTCTCTCTCTGTCTCTCTCTCTCTCTCTCTCTCTGTCTCTCTCTCTCTCTCTCTCTGTCCTCTCTCTCTCTGTCTCTCTCTCTCTCTCTGTCTCTCTCTCTCTCTGTCTCTCTCTCTCTCTGTCTCTCTCTCTCTCTGTCTCTCTCTCTCTCTCTCTCTCTCTCTCTGTCTCTCTCTCTCTCTCTGTCCTCTCTCTCTCTGTCTCTCTCTCTGTCTCTCTGTCCTCTCTCTCTGTCTCTCTCTCTCTCTCTCTGTCTCCTCTCTGTCCTCTCACTCTCTGTCTCTCTCTCTCTGTCTCTCTCTCTGTCTCTCTCTCTCTGTCCTCTCTCATCTCTGTCTCTCTCTCTCTCTCTCTCTCTCTCTCTCTCTCTGTCCTCTCTCTCTCTGTCCTCTCTCTCTCTGTCCTCTCTCTCTCTGTCCTCTCTCTCTCTGTCCTCTCTCTCTCTGTCCTCTCTCTCTCTGTCCTCTCTCTCTCTGTCCTCTCTCTCTCTGTCCTCTCTCTCTCTGTCCTCTCACATGAGTCTAGTGTCTTTTGTTTAGTTTTCTGTTGTGTTTTAGCCTCCTTTTCCTTTGAGAACCATGAAGCCACGTTTCCCATCGTCATCAAGCGGCCTCAGCTCCCAGTCTTGTTCGACATGGGGACTGGTAAGTCCATTCTTACCACATCATTTGAAATCCTCAATTGGTTTGAATTTCATGCCATTTTTATGCAAAATCCATTTTATTTTAGCTTACTGCCTTGTTATAATGTTGTTTCATCATCAAATGCATGCCTGAAGAGGTTTTAAATGTCATCCATGCATGTTTATAATATTATTTCTTCTCCTCTAATGTTGCTTTGGCTTCAGTGATCATCACCACTGGGAGGATGAGGCCATTCCTTAACCCTACAGAAACTGTACAGATTGTCTAAATTCTCCAGGATGGCACATCTGGACGTGCTGTTGCTGTCTCCAGCACAATTTCCGGACACGGGCATTTACTGTAGGAGAGCTGGATAGGACTGTAGAAGTTCCTCAACCCATCAGCAGGACACATATCTGCTTCTTTGTGCAGAAGGAACAGACTCTGCCTGTGTCCTATAGAATGACCTCCAGCAGGACACTGGTGTGAATGTCTCTGCCCAAACAATCACAAACACACTTCATGAGGGTGACTTGAGGGCACCACGTCCTGTAGTGGATTCTGTGTTCACCGCGCAGCATCGAATTGGGAAGTCCTCCACTGGTATCCTGTGCTCTTCAGAGATGAGAGCAGGTTCACCCTGAGCACCTGTGACAGATGTGAAAGAGTCTGGAGAAGATGAGGAGAACTCTCTGCTGCCTGTAACATGGTTCACATGAGCAGTTAGGTTGTGGGTCAGTGATGTTCTGGCAGATCCATGGAGGGACACACAGACCTCTACAGGCTAGAAAACAGCAGTCTGACTGTCATATCAGGAGGAAATCTTTGAATCATTGTCAGATCCTACACTGTTGCAGTATGTCCTGGTTCCTCCTGACGCACAACAATGCCCGACCTCGTGACAAGAATCTGCAGGCAAAACCTGGATTGATACAAGCAAATGGCCCTCACCATCACCTGACTTAAACCTGATAAAACACATCTGGGACATGATGTTTGGGTTCATCAGACACCACCAGGTTGCTCCTCAGACTCTACAGGAGCTCAGTGATGCCCTTACACTGGGAGAACATCCTACAGGACACCGTCTATCGTCTCATTAGGAGCATGTCACAGTGTCAAACATGCAGACGAGCACATGGGGCCACACAAGATACTGAGAAGTATTTTGAGTTGCAGAAATAAAATTTTGTCAAAATGGACCAACCTGTCTATAAAATAAAGCCCTTTGTATGGTGAACATTTAATTTCCATTTAAAGAGGAGCATCCTTTTGTTCCTAAGACATTACCCTTTCTATATTTGTATAGATACCCAGCTTTTTTTTTCTCACATTGAGACCTCATGGGTTTTCAAAATATTACATTTTTTTGAGCTGTGTATTAGAATAATAATAACAAAAGTATGAAAATTTAACTTCCAGAACTGAAGCGGACTTGGAAGTGGGTGAGAGTGTGATATGTGACTGTTCCTCTGTCTTTCAGACATCAATTCTCAAGTCACCATCACCACCAAGACCTTCCTGCGCTACAATAACCTCAAAGTTCTCCTGAGCAGCATCCGGAAGTTCTACCCCACAGTGACAGTGATCATAGCTGACGATAGTCTGGAGCCCGAGAAGATCACTGGAGACAACATCCAGCACTACATCATGCCCCCAGCTCAGGTAACCACTCAAATTCAGGATTTCCAGCGAAATAGATGTCTTTAGTGTTAATCTTCAAAAATGTATTGAAATTGAAGGTGATTAGACATGTTCAGAAAATACTGAACTGATTGATCGAAGCGTCACAGCAGAGGAGAAAGCAGAGAAATCACACTTTAGCTAAATCCAGTTGAGAAATCTCATCCAAATAGAATATTTCAGCTCAAATTTGTGCTTCCATCCAAATTACAATGCTGCTCTGTGATTGGTCAGTCATTGTGACCCAATGGCAGCGGGAGCCACAGCAGTAGGAGCTGTGTAAATTTTTGTGAACTCACACGTATCATGTGAATGACCTCACTCTGCACCGTCCTTAGACGTGATGATGTGATGTTTATCTCGTCAGGGTTGGTTTGCCGGCAGAAACCTCGCAGTTTCTCAAGTCACAACTAAATATTTTCTGTGGGTGGACGACGACTTTGTGTTCACAAAAAACACAATGATGGAGAAGCTGGTGGAGGTGATGGAGGCTGCTCCGTATCTAGATGTGGTGAGAACTTAAAGTGGTGTGCATATTTATTTATTCACGCTGAACCAACGGAGGAAATGCCACAGGTGCAGAGTAGGCAACACGACTTATTTAGCATCATAATAACAGTATGTTTTTAATTTCTTAGTATTGTGGTACTATGCTTTATTATCATTTCACTGGGTAAACACTCCCACTCATCACCTTACATCTGAGCTTTGGACATTTCTCTGTCATTAGTTTGTAGATAAATTGAGTGCTCCCATTGTTTCTTTTCTTATAAATAAATAAAATAAACAGTCCTTTGAACAGCTCTTTAAAATGAACAGATCCAAAAGATTCGGATCCCATACAAGAGCTGAAACTAGTACTTTGAACAGATGTAGAGTAGTTTGAATGAAGGCAAACATATACTTTGTTTTTCTTTGTTTATTAAAGGTTGGTGGCTCAGTACAAGGAAACATGTTTCACTTTTCACTGGAGTATGATGAAGGAGATGAGGCTGAAGGAGGCTGTCTTACCAGAAAGTCCACAGGAAAATTCCACGCACTTCCTGGTTACCCACAATGCTTCCTGTCCGACGGAGTGGTCAATTTCTTTTTGGCTCGAACTGACTCTGTCCAAAAAGCCAGATTTGATCCTCTTCTAAAAAGAGTGGCACACTCAGGTAAGCAAATGAATGACGTCCATAGACAGAGCTCCTCTTATATCTGTGTGCTTTGGCACTGAGTCGTGCTCAGACACACAGAGTTATGAGAGAATGTCAGTGAAACACACTTTCACCTGTGCACACTTTTGTATTTATGAAGATTGGTATTTATCTGTCTCAATGCTCATGGTCATGTTCATTCCAAAGAATAATCAGTATTAAAGTTCCTATGTCACACTATTTTCTAATGTGGTTTCGTCATCACAAACAGACCTGGAGGCTGTGCTTTTAGCCAGGATACAGTTATGTTTTTTTACTATTGTGATTCATATTAGAATAAGTCCCATAGCATGTGTGTGTAGTCTCGTGTGTGTCAGGACATGTGTGTGTAGTCTCCTGTGTGTCAGGACATGTGTGTGTAGTCTCCTGTGTGTCAGGACATGTGTGTGTAGTCTCCTGTGTGACAGGACATGTGTGTGTAGTCTCCTGTGTGTCAGGACATGTGTGTGTAGTCTCCGTGTGTGTCAGGACATGTGTGTGTGTGTAGTCTCCTGTGTGTCAGGACATGTGTGTGTAGTCTCCTGTGTGTCAGGACATGTGTGTGTAGTCTCCTGTGTGTCAGGACATGTGTGTGTAGTCTCCTGTGTGACAGGACATGTGTGTGTAGTCTCCTGTGTGTGACAGGACATGTGTGTGTAGTCTCCTGTGTGACAGGACATGTGTGTAGTCTCCTGTGTGTCAGGACATGTGTGTGTAGTCTCCTGTGTGTGACAGGACATGTGTGTGTAGTCTCGTGTGTGACAGGACATGTGTGTGTAGTCTCCTGTGTGACAGGACATGTGTGTGTAGTCTCCTGTGTGTCAGGACATGTGTGTGTGTGTGTGTAGTCTCCTGTGTGTCAGGACATGTGTGTGTAGTCTCTGTGTGTCAGGACATGTGTGTGTAGTCTCCTGTGTGACAGGACATGTGTGTGTAGTCTCCTGTGTGACAGGACATGTGTGTGTAGTGTGTGTCAGGACATGTGTGTGTAGTCTCCTGTGTGTCAGGACATGTGTGTGTAGTCTCGTGTGTGACAGGACATGTGTGTGTAGTCTCTGTGTGTCAGGACATGTGTGTGTAGTCTCCTGTGTGACAGGACATGTGTGTGTACATGTGTGTGTAGTCTCTGTGTGTCAGGACATGTGTGTGTAGTCTCGTGTGTGACAGGACATGTGTGTGTAGTCTCGTGTGTGTCAGGACATTTGTGTGTAGTCTCCTGTGTGTCAGGACATGTGTGTGTAGTCTCGTGTGTGACAGGACATGTGTGTGTCAGGACATGTGTGTGTAGTCTCCTGTGTGACAGGACATGTGTGTGTAGTCTCGTGTGTGACAGGACATGTGTGTGTAGTCTCGTGTGTGACAGGACATGTGTGTGTAGTCTCGTGTGTGTCAGGACATGTGTGTGTAGTCTCTGTGTGTCAGGACATGTGTGTGTAGTCTCGTGTGTGTCAGGACATGTGTGTGTAGTCTCGTGTGTGACAGGACATGTGTGTGTAGTCTCTGTGTGACAGGACATGTGTGTGTAGTCTCGTGTGTGACAGGACATGTGTGTGTAGTCTCGTGTGTGACAGGACAGTGTGTGTGTGTGTAGTCTCGTGTGTGACAGGACATGTGTGTGTAGTCTCGTGTGTGTCAGGACATGTGTGTGTAGTCTCCTGTGTGTCAGGACATGTGTGTGTAGTCTCCTGTGTGTCAGGACATGTGTGTGTAGTGTGTGTGTGTGTGTGACAGGACATGTGTGTGTAGTCTCGTGTGTGACAGGACATGTGTGTGTAGTCTCCTGTGTGACAGGACATGTGTGTGTGTAGTCTCGTGTGTGACAGGACATGTGTGTGTAGTCTCGTGTGTGTCAGGACATGTGTGTGTAGTCTCGTGTGTGACATGTGTGTGTGTGACAGGACATGTGTGTGTAGTCTCTGTGTGTGACAGGACATGTGTGTGTAGTCTCGTGTGTGTCAGGACATTTGTGTGTAGTCTCGTGTGTGTCAGGACATGTGTGTGTAGTCTTGTGTGTGTCAGGACATGTGTGTGTAGTCTCGTGCGTGTCAGGACATGTGTGTGTCAGGACATGTGTGTGTAGTCTCCTGTGTGACAGGACATGTGTGTGTAGTCTCGTGTGTGACAGGACATGTGTGTGTAGTGTGTGTGACAGGACATGTGTGTGTAGTCTCGTGTGTGTCAGGACATGTGTGTGTAGACTTGTGTGTGTCAGGACATGTGTGTGTAGTCTCCTGTGTGACAGGACATGTGTGTGTAGTCTCCTGTGTGACAGGACATGTGTGTGTAGTCTCGTGTGTGACAGGACGTGTGTGTAGTCTCGTGTGTGACAGGACATGTGTGTGTAGTCTCGTGTGTGTAGTCTCCTGTGTGTCAGGACATGTGTGTGTAGTCTCGTGTGTGTCAGGACATGTGTGTGTAGTCTCGTGCGTGACAGAACATGTGTGTGTAGTCTTGTGTGTGACAGGACATGTGTGTGTAGTCTCGTGTGTGACAGGACATGTGTGTGTAGTCTCGTGTGTGTCAGGACATGTGTGTGTAGTCTCGTGTGTGTCAGGACATGTGTGTGTAGTCTCCTGTGTGTCAGGACATGTGTGTGTAGTCTCGTGTGTGTCAGGACATGTGTGTGTAGTCTCGTGTGTGACAGGACATGTGTGTGTAGTCTCCTGTGTGACAGGACATGTGTGTGTAGTCTCGTGTGTGACAGGACATGTGTGTGTAGTCTCGTGTGTGTCAGGACATGTGTGTGTAGTCTCCTGTGTGACAGGACATGTGTGTGTAGTCTCGTGTGTGACAGGACATGTGTGTGTAGTCTCGTGTGTGTCAGGACATGTGTGTGTAGTCTCGTGTGTGACAGGACATGTGTGTGTAGTCTCGTGTGTGACAGGACATGTGTGTGTAGTCTCGTGTGTGTCAGGACATGTGTGTGTAGTCTCGTGTGTGTCAGGACATGTGTGTGTAGTCTCCTGTGTGTCAGGACATGTGTGTGTAGTCTCGTGTGTGTGACAGGACATGTGTGTGTAGTCTCGTGTGTGTCAGGACATGTGTGTGTAGTCTCTGTGTGTGTCAGGACATGGTGTGTCAGACATGTGTGTGTGTGTGTAGTCTCCTGTGTGACAGGACATGTGTGTGTGTCTCGTGTGTGACAGGACATGTGTGTGTAGTCTCCTGTGTGACAGGACATGTGTGTGTAGTCTCCTGTGTGACAGGACATGTGTGTGTAGTCTCGTGTGTGACAGGACGTGTGTGTGTAGTCTCGTGTGTGTAGTCTCCTGTGTGTCAGGACATGTGTGTGTAGTCTCCTGTGTGTCAGGACATGTGTGTGTAGTCTCGTGTGTGACAGGACATGTGTGTGTAGTCTCCTGTGTGACAGGACATGTGTGTGTAGTCTCGTGTGTGACAGGACATGTGTGTGTAGTCTCGTGTGTGTCAGGACATTTGTGTGTAGTCTCCTGTGTGTCAGGACATGTGTGTGTAGTCTCGTGTGTGACAGGACATGTGTGTGTAGTCTCGTGTGTGTCAGGACATGTGTGTGTCAGGACATGTGTGTGTAGTCTCCTGTGTGTGACAGGACATGTGTGTGTAGTCTCGTGTGTGACAGGACATGTGTGTGTAGTCTCGTGTGTGACAGGACATGTGTGTGTAGTCTGTGTAGTCCTGTGTGACAGGACATGTGTGTGTAGTCTCGTGTGTGTCAGGACATGTGTGTGTGTAGTCTCTGTGTGTCAGGACATGTGTGTGTAGTCTCGTGTGTGACAGGACATGTGTGTGTAGTCGTGTGTGACAGGACGTGTGTGTGACAGGACATGTGTGTGTAGTCTCGTGTGTGACAGGACATGTGTGTGTAGTCTCGTGTGTGACAGGACATGTGTGTGTAGTCTCCTGTGTGTGACAGGACATGTGTGTGTAGTCTCCTGTGTGTCAGGACATGTGTGTGTAGTCTCGTGCGTGACAGGACATGTGTGTGTAGTCTCGTGTGTGACAGGACAGTGTGTGTAGTCTCGTGTGTGTCAGGACATGTGTGTGTAGTCTCCTGTGTGTGACAGGACATGTGTGTGTACTGTGCACTGATCACATTTTGCAGTGTATTTTCTTACATTTGTTGGAACAATCACATTTTGCATCATAGATTTCTATTCAAACTCTATTCAAATGTAAGAAACGTCTTTGAACGATTCCTCCAGTTCTCCTCTGATGATCTTTAATGCTCAGGTTATTGTCCTCTGATTCAACCTTTAGGACTATATTTTTTTTTAATACATGTTTTAGTGTTACATGTATTTGTCATGAATCATTCTTCTAGATAATGATGAGTGTTGTTACAAATATATTTCCATTCCTTATAAGACTGTGTCTGATTTGTAAAAAGAGAATATTGTGCTAGTTTTAGGAGGAAGAGGTGGGCAACATGAGGCATTCAGACACAGGAAGAGCGTGCAAACTCAAACTCAAAAGTCCCAACCACTAAACCACAACTTCTCTGGTAATATGAACTGAACTAAACCAACAGTTCAGCAGGTTGTGTTCAGAAGTCCCGTGCTATTAAACTAGATTTTTTTTTTTTCTTGAAATTAAGGTCTTGAAAAGCTTTAAAAAGCATTACATTTAATTTCAAGCAGCATTAAAAATACTGGCAGTGGTGCTAAAATATTTCTCATATGTAGCTCACATTGATTACAAGACATTCAAGGAAGTTCATGTGGCTGTCGTTAATGTCACCTACATGTTGCGTCACACAACCCTGAACATTTACGTATATCCACCATATCCACCCAACACCTGTCACATGTTTAATCCCACTGGCAGGTACTTGCCTCCAGGTTTCTTGGTTATTAGAAAGGCTAACTTCAGGTCCGGGAGCTACGCCCCGAGCCGGGCAGAGAGCACAGAGTGTGTCCCACATCCCCTCGCTCGGACTTCAGCTGTTTGCTCACGTCATGGAACCAAGTGCCCCAGTTCAGGCTCTGAGTGTGTGTTGAGTGTGTGTTGAGTGTGTGTTGAGTGTGTGTAGAGTGTGTGTAGAGTGTGTGTAGAGTGTGTGTAGAGTGTGGAGAGTGTGTGTAGAGTGTGTGGAGAGTGTGTGGAGAGTGTGTGGAGAGTGTGTGGAGAGTGTGTGGAGAGTGTGTGGAGAGAGTGTGTGTGTAGAGTGCGTGTAGAGTGCGTGTAGTGTGCGTGTAGAGTGCGTGTAGTGTGCGTGTAGTGTGCGTGTGTGCGTGTGTGCGTGTAGTGCGTGTAGAGTGCGTGTAGTGTGCGTGTGCGTGTGCGTGTAGTGTGCGTGTAGAGTGAGTGTGCGTGTAGAGTGCGTGTAGTGTGCGTGTAGTGTGCGTGTAGAGTGCGTGTAGTGTGCGTGTAGAGTGCGTGTAGAGTGCGTGTAGAGTGCGTGTAGTGTGCGTGTAGAGTGCGTGTAGAGTGCGTGTAGAGTGCGTGTAGTGTGCGTGTAGAGTGCGTGTAGTGTGCGTGTAGTGTAGAGTGCGTGTGAGTGCGTGTAGAGTGCGTGTAGTGTGCGTGTAGTGTGCGTGCGTGTAGAGTGCGTGTAGAGTGCGTGTAGAGTGCGTGTAGTGTGTGTAGAGTGCGTGTAGTGCGTGTAGTGTGCGTGTAGTGTGCGTGTAGAGTGCGCGTGTAGAGTGCGTGTAGTGTGCGTGTAGAGTGCGTGTGTGCGTGTAGAGTGCGTGTAGAGTGCGTGTAGTGTGCGTGTAGAGTGCGTGTAGAGTGCGTGTAGAGTGCGTGTAGAGTGCGTGTAGAGTGCGTGTAGAGTGCGTGTAGAGTGTGTCATGCTTTGTTTCTTGAGTTGTTTAATGACATCACAAACCCGTCTTTGCTTTTGTACTTTTGCTGTGTAATCTTAGTTGAAATAAAATGATTGTCCTTCATACAGTCAGTTGTTTCCATGCCACTTGGATAATCATTTCTTTCACTTGGTAGTTCCAGAAGTGCTCAATTATTGCTCTCGGGGCTTTGTTGTTCCTCTTCTCTGCTCTGCTCATTCTTTCAGTGTCTATGTCCAAACCACTCGCCAGTTTCAGGAGCAGTTTTTCTTACACATGTTACCACCGGAAGCAAAAGTCTTTTCAATACTGTCAAAAACTTTTAAGATACTTAAGAAAAAGTACAAAATGTGTTTCTGGTCAGAATATAGTAAAATAAAGAACAGCTTCAGACAGAGCAGTGCCTACAGTTCACATCACACCCCAAGGCAATGTTGATGACATCAGCTGCAAAGTATCAATAAGAAAATGTTTGTGTGGCCCACATGGGAGTCTGGTGTGATCACATTCATTCATTGTTGTGTGTGTCTGTGCAGAATGGTTCATGGACGGCCTGGGCTCGCTGATGGTGGCCTCGTGTGCTCATGTGCAGATAGGACACCAGCCAAAGACTCTCACAAAGGACTATAACAAGTATCGGTACCCAAATGATGCGTCGGATAAGACCTTCAAACTACAACATCATTACTTCAAAAACTATCTCAAGTGTATCATGTACGGATGAATGAGCAGCTGAAGACAGTTACAAAATAATTTCACACTTGAAGACACAACCAAATACCAAAAATGAAAGAGGGGGTATTATGCAAATTGTATACATTTTACACTTCATACATTATACATTTTATATGTATATATGTATGTGTTATAACATTGTCCGGGAAGAGTGCTTTATATTCTTGTGGTATTGGAATCATTATTGAGTACTGAATCTGTTCTTTAGTGTCAAAATTGTCAGTAAAAATACTGCTCAAATAGGAGTAAAAGTATGCTGTTAGAAAAGTACCCTGAAAAGTACAAGTTACCCAAGTAAATATAACTGAATACTACCCGCCTCTGCCCAAATCCCTCCCTCTTCTTCCCAGTCTCCAGCTTCTGTGTGTGACTCATTGTGGTTTCAGAACCTTGGACAGTTCCACTTGCTTTCACTGTCAGGAGCGAGAGCAGAGGTGGGGCCTATTCAGTTACATTTAAACGTTAACATTTTACAGAATTTACTTTTCAGAGTACTTTTCTACTTGAGATATTTATTGCTCTTGCTTGAGTAAAAGTTGTGGTTCCTCTTCCCACTGTGAGTGAGTGTAAAGTGACAAAAGCTTTATGTGACAATATGAAATAATTTAAATATTTATATTTTTGCAGCTCCTTCAGATATGTGTGTCATTTTGGTAAAAAAAAAAGATGTACATTTTTTTTTCTATTAAAAAAATAGATTTATATGAAGTATTTATATTTAAATTATTATCTGATGTTGATAACAGAATTGATAACAGAAAAGAGCTTTAAGCCATGTTTTAATGTTACCTCTTCAGTCAGTAAAGTTTGTCTAAAAACAGAGCCGGAGTTGTTGGTTTCATTCACACATGTTTGAGTAACACTTTGTTAGTCTGTGTGCATCTCCAAAACTCCAAATGTTCCGTTCCACCTTGTGATGCCATGAAGCGGTACTTTTGAAGTGAACAGGTCCTTTTGATTTGTAGAGAACGGCACTCGGCTGAAATGATCCAAATGATTCTAGTGAAGGTGTATGGCAACATGACCTGAGAGAAGAGCTCAGCCTAAAGATGCAGAGTTTGTATGAAACAAAAGTAACAAAACATAACTCCAGGTGTGTTTTTGATGAGGAAAGAGAACAGAACAGATCAGAAAACAGCGTCATTGATAGTTTACTATTTGTATCCTCCTGGTGTGTGAGTGTGTCTCACACCTCTGTTTTCTCACATTTAAAAGACATTTTGAGAGGAAACCAATACCTCATCCTGACCCTTATCTGAAGTCTAACATACAGCCCAGTCTTAACCACAGCCCCATATGAGGAACATTTGCAGAGCGTTGCACTCTCATGTCGATTGTTTGTCAGCTGTGGTTTCCACCCACACAGCCTCTGCAGTTTTCACACACACACACACACACACACACACACTACTTTTCAGTTCATCTTTATCCCAGTCTCACGGTGCATTATTTAAACAGACAAACACAGAGACAGTACAAAGAAAGAGTTATGCTTTTGTCAGGGAATTTACCCTAAGACATCAAATTACATTAAATAAAGACACACCAAAACGAGTTAAAAGTAATCACTTGCGCAAGGGAGAGAGAGCTGTCAGAGCCTGTCAATACCACTGGCTGAGCCACTCTACTCTCTCAGCTCTCCTCCCAACAGCAGGTTTTATTGCAGTCATTTCACAGATAACAATACAGTACATTATGTTATATCACACAATGGTTACAATGATCACATGGTAACAATCTTTAGGCTAAACCACCCTCCCATTTCACACTTGATTACAGGCTCCAGGTGATAAACAATTTGGTCAGTTTTCTCCCAAAAACTTATGCTAACCACATGAGGGAAAAAACCCTTAGCTGTCTTCTCATGGGCGACTCAGTAGATTAGCTTAAAGAGTCAGGAGTTCTTGAACTAGGACATATGACATACATATGGAAAAACCCAAAAATGCAATTGTTGATAACTTTATATTACACACACAAAAGATTATGAATTTAAATGATTCATAATATTTAAAATAACACAGAAATTCTTTCACAGCTTTAAAAATACCTACAGAATGAAATTGTAGTTCTTAGTTTGTCTCAGCTTGTTAATCATTGCATTTATATAGCACCTTTCAAGATGCCCAAAACACTTTACAGTTTATTGTTCATTCACTCAACATTCAGTGGTGGTAAACTATTACTGTAGCCACAGCTACCCTGGGACAGACTGATGGAAGTAATGATGCCAATTTGCACCATTGGCCCCTCCAACCACCACCATCACTCACACACACACCACTTTCATACTAGGCAATGTGAGTGAAGTGTCTTGCCTAAGGACACAATGACAGTTTTTGCCACTGGCGCCTCCTGTGGCACCTGGAATTCCCAGTGTCTCCCATCCAAGTACTGACCAGGCCCAGACCTGCTGAGCTTCTGAGATCTGATGGGATCAGGTTTGACGAGCCAGTATGGAAACATGGCTTGTAAAGTATTATTGCATAAAGTTCCATATCCAGGGCCTCCTAAAATAAAGGCCAAAGTCATTATTTTACATTTTTTAGGAAACACAAAAACTGTACCAATTAAAACCTGTAAATGATGTGATCATGTTTTCATACAAAAAGATCAGATGAGACATGGTACACTAATATTTAGGTCAACAAAGCCATTTTGTGGCTTTGTGTTCTACTGTGTCTGACTCTTTCAGCTCACAGCAAACAGTCTGTATTCATTTTCTTCCTCTTCAAGAGACTTGGCCTTGAACATGGTAAACTACAGGCAGCAGGATCTCCTGGTGATCCACAGACACTCCACTCTACTACACTGTTGAGGAGTTTCTACATAAACACTTAAAGAATAAATCAAACATAAACTGAGAGAGTTGTAATGTTCTAAGGTGAATTTATTCTTATTTCCTGTCCCTACATCTGCCCATGTCAGTTATGTCCCTAGACTGGGACAGTGTGATGAGGACACAGCATGTGGACTCAGAGTCAGGTCACACTGGAGAGAAAGATGAAGGTAAACAGTTAAGAAACTAGTTTCTTAACTGTTTACCTTCATCTTAGTCATTCTCCTGTGTGAGAGTGTCCTGGTCTTGTGCTTCTCATATGAGTCTAAACTGCTAAGAACCTAGAAGCCAGACTGTGACCATGTTTAACATTAAACATCTCACAAATACATTTATGAACGGCTTAAACAAAGGCTGTTTAAAAGGTAATTGATCATCAATGTAAAAGATGTTAAATTAATCTTCTAGCTTGGTACATGACTTTTGTGAGCTTTAAGCCATGTTAGAATGCTGTAAGCCCCTCAAAAACAGAGCTGGAGTTGTGTTTCGTTTCATTCACACATGTTTGTGTAATCCTTTATTATTTATTAGTCTGTCTACACTCAAAATGTAGTTTTCAAATTAACAGCTCCTTTTACCTTCATCAGTGGAAATTCCAGGGCTGAAATGATCCAGAATGATTCTAGTGAAGGTGTATGACATGTATGTATGAGTGTATGACATCACGAGATGGAGTGTTTTCTGTTTGAGAAAAGAACTCAGTCTAAAAGTGCAGGTTTGTGTGTTAAACATGTGAATGAAACAAAACACAACTCCAGGTGTGTGTGTGTGGTGAGGAAACTAAATTAGAACATAGATCAGAGAACAGGGTCATGTGAGCTCTTTAAACAGGCTGTGAGTGTTCAGTGACAGCGTCTTAAGAAGAACTGGACCTCAGAGCTTGTTGTAGAGAGTGGCGCCCCCTGCTGTCTGTTATCATGCATGACTACAGAGGCCTCGTGGACAAAAACGCAAGTCTGCTTCTGTGTTATTTGAATAGATCCATGGATAAACACGTGTATTAAAGCCTATACAGTGCATGCTTTTTTGAAAATTATTTAAATGAGGTTAATACATTTTTAAATGACTTTTGTATTTACAGTAGTCCTACAGTAACTCCAAAATAAATAATAGGCCTGCTACATCTGAAGTTTGAACATTTCAGTTGATGGTTGCACTAAACTGGTTTTCTACTTGTGTGTAAACTACAGCACTAACACAAAGTCCTTAAAACCACTGTTTCTCAAAGACTGGGTCACGACCCTCAGATGGGTCGCAGGACTTTCTTTTTTTTTGGGCTACCTTGTCGCCTTGAGATTTTCTGTGCTCACAAAAATGAAGACAAAACACAGAAACAGAGTGAAGCTGCTCCTGATCTGCTGCTGCGTCTCCTCCTGCACCTGAACTGAACACACTACAAATCTCTATCTTTTAAATCATTTGAACAGGTCACACACGCTTTTATTTCCTCTCGTTTGTGTGACTGTGACACACTTTTCTCTGGCCTCAGCCTCCATGCACTTTCTCACTTACAGTTGGTCCAAAATTCTGCTGTGCATCTTTTAACTGGAACTAAAAATCTTCTAGTTCATTTTAGAGTTGATTTTAAGATTTTATTGTTTGTTTTTAAAGCTTTGAATGGACTGTCCCCACAGTACGATTAGGACCTCATCCAAATTTTTTCTAAACCTAACCTAAGGAACCTAAGACCAGACTCCTACCCCAAACTCTGGAACTCTCTGACCCCCCACGTCCCAGCAGCCCCACAGTGGAGAGTTTTAAGTCTCGTCTTAAAACTTTTATTCTCTGGCTTTTCACACCGCGTGAGTTGTCTGCTCCTCTGTGTCTTTTATTTATTTGACTTATTTTATTTATTCTATTTACTTTCTGCTATTTTATGATTTGTATGGTTTTGCTTTTATTTGATTTGACTGGTTTTATTGTTTTAGGTATGATCCAATTTTAGCACTTTACCTTTCTGTTGTCTTCATTTCATGATCTCTGTGCAGCTCCTTGGAAACTGCTTTGTTGTAAAATGCGCTATCATATCATATTGACCTTAACTTTTCATAAATTTTTTAACATATTATTTTTGCTTTACATGAAAAAAAATGGACTCAAATTAATTATTATATTTGGCTAATTTTATATGCACAAATGTAAATTCTCTTATACCTCTTTGTTTTCCTGTTTTACTACTACTACTACTACTACTACTACTACTACTACTACTAGTAATAATAATAAAAATAATAATTCCTTCCATTTATATAGCGCTTTTCAAGACACCCAAAATGCACAACACACACACACGAGCGTGGTTACATGGGATTAAAAAACAGATTAAATAGAAATGTTTTGAGAAGTGATTTGACTGGTCAGTGGTTTCAGCAGTTTGTAAGTGTGGAGGTTTGGAGCAGGTCTGACAGGTTCTCAGGGGCCTGGGTGTTGAGAGGAGAGTGTCCTGGGCGGTGTGTAGGTTTGGAGTGAGTCTGAGAGGTTCTGAGGGGAGTGAGTGTGGAGGGACTTGTTGGTGAAGAGAAGAAGCTTGTACTAGATCCGGTACTTGAGAAGCCAGTGTTCTGTATGCTGCTGTGTTTCAGATGACGTCACAGCACTCTATAGGACAATATTAATTAATACAGTTGGGGGCAGATAAAATTTAAATTGTTAAAATGCATTTTGTGTAGTAATACAGTGAGTTCTAGGGTTTAGTCAGTAATTGAAAATACCCAGTTCAACATTTGTGAGTTTATTTTGGATATTTCATGGCCAAGTACAGTGTAATTGATAGAGAAATCTGGCCCTTGCTCCCGACTGTAACAAAAAGTGGCGTCGCCCACCAGTGTTGGGAAGGTTACTTTTAAAATGTATTCCCCTACAGATTACATACCCGAAAATGTAGTTTGTAATGTAATCCATTAAATTACTTAAAGTGAGTAATGTAATCTGAATACTTTGGATTACTTGATTTGCTGTAGAGAAGCAAAGACCAGGAAATCTTCACATAAGATGTTTTGTTTGCTAAAAGAAAATACAAAAAATGTAAAACCGCCGTGTAATCCATTTATTTCAACAAAGTAACTGTAATCCAATTACCACTCACTGAAACAGTAACTGTAACTGAATACAATTACTCATAATTTGTACTCTGATTACGTAACTCCGGTACGTGTAATCTGTTACTCCCCAACACTGTCACCCACAGAGTTCAGCGCATACTCGTGATGCTCACGGTTACAGGAGTGAATTTGGAGCCAGGTTCTATATGAATAGGATTTTTAGCGGACAAAATAGCAAGGGGAAAAAATACAAAACAAAACAAAAAAACTCACAGCAGCAGTTACATTTATGTAGAGTTTATTACGCTTGCCCCCCCCCCCCCCCACCCCCCACCCCCACGCACCAATTGCAATAATAATAATAATAATAATAATAATAATAATAATAATAATAATGATAATAATAATAGATAAAAATAAAAACGGTGTGAAGGCGGGACTTCCGCTGACAGCTCCATTCCAGCGCTCTGATTGGATAAAACGGAGCTGTCACTCCAACGTTTCACTGAGCGAGTTTTTCAAATCAAACTGAGAAGCGCCGCTTTTGAGACGCGAGTAACAGAAACACGTTGAAACAGCATCACCATGCAGAGACCGGGGTGAGTATCAGCTGTTTTACTGTCTCATCTAGTGGCAGCGACAGAGACTTGGTCAGAAGTGCTTGCTAGTACATGATCTCCGGCTCTTTCTCTAGCCGCGACTTTACTTTGCGCGCTTGTTTTGTCAGATGCTAACATGCTAACGGTAGCCTCGGCTGCCGTTGGAAACAGAACTGCTCTATGTGATTCTGCCCCTAAACAGAAAACCATGTGTACTCTTCTTTTACCACACAAAACTTCACTGTCTGAATACAGTCATGTGATCTCCGCACACACAAACACAACACTGACACAGAGCATACCGTATCTCTGCATATCATGCTTACACACTGTTGGGGAGTAACAGATTACATGTACCGGGATTACGTAATTAGAGTACAAATTATGAGTAACTGTATTCAGTTACAGTTACTGTTTCAGTGAGTGGTAATTGGATTACAGTTACTTTGTTGAAATAAATGGATTACAGGGTGCTATTTTCCGGTTTTCACATTTTGGGCTAAACCAGGACTAAACCAGGACTAAAAGCAGGACTAAAGCAGGTCTAAACAATATGACACTAACAGTAGGACATAATTTAAGGTAGCAGTGATCTCATAAAAAAATCATTTCTCTATCAATAATATTTTTTATATGCTTAAGTAAAGACTGGACTTTTTATTTTCTTTTAGCAGACAAAACACAACATCTCATGTTAAGATTTCCTGATCTTTGCTTCTCTACAGCAAACAGTCGCTTATTCATGGAGACTTGGGCTCAACAGAAAATTTGAAGAACAAACAAGAATTTTCAGGATGTGGTCGATACATTCATGTAGTTTTAAAAAGCATGGCAATATCAATTAATCCAAAGTATTACGTTACTCACTTTAAGTAATTTAATGGATTATGTTACAAACTACATTTTGGGGTATTTAATCTGTAATCTGTAGGGGAATACATTTTAAAAGTCACCTTCCCAACACTGTGCTTACATGTTCATTTTAAATCTGATACATAACTATATTTATTTCTTTACTTATTTACAGCACACTTGTTCATATATATCTTATGCTCATTTATATATTCATACATATTCATATTTTTACAGCACACCTTGTATACTTGTATATTATATTCTAGTAAAGTTTTTTTTATGTAAACTGTATTTTACCATACATCTGCTTATATATCCCCCATGTTTATTATACCTAATTCCCACCTGTTCATATTGCCATGTTTATTTGTACATATATTTACTATAATCTACACCAGACCTGGACATTGTCCAGCTCCAGTCTCACATAAGGCCTTTGGTCGACTCTGACTGACCCGTTTAAGATAATTTGGAATTACAAAATAAACATTTTACCATTTTGCCTCATGCATGGATTAAAGCGGCATTGCTTTTATTTTAGAGATGTTTTTTAGGACATTTTTTGTAAGGCAGCCTCACTTTTTCATTTCTTAGTCATAACATAAATATTAATCAGTCTGACCAGCACGTTTTTATGAAGAAATACATTTAATATTATGCAGAATTGAGCTAAGCATTTTGGCCCAGCCCTCCACAATATTTTCTGTTTCTCATGTGGACCCATGGGAAAAAATAATTGCCCACTCCTGATCTTACACTGTAATATACAGTATATACTCCACATTCTGTATGTATAGCACTTGCTGCTCCTTGCACTTCTGATTAGATGCTAAAACACATTTCGTTACCTTGTACTTGTATTACATGTGTAATAACACTAAAGTTGAATCTGGATCTGAGCACGAGCAAAAGCGTGGAACTCTCTTCTGCAGGGGTGTCAAACTCATTTTGGTCCGGGGGCCGTATCCAAATATTTGTGCAGAGAAACACAAATCTATAACAGAAATCTTTTTTAATTGATGAACTCTTTCTTATTATAATATTATAATATTATTATGAACAATCTGAAACTTTAAGAAAAATTCAATTTCAACACAATGTTTTAACATGAACTTGTATGTAAATAGGAATAAGTCAGTTTTTCTTGGAAAATCCTGCACTCGGCTCAATTTTTCTCATTTTGGACTTTTTTCTGATGAGGGTGTCACAGTCAACAGTCAAAACGATCGTCCTTTAAGAGCGTTTGGAAAGAGAGAAGTCCTCATTTGTGCTGCTCTGGTGGGAGGGGCCACATACAGAGACGCTGGAGACGCTGCTGTGCTAAGCACCGCAGAAAATTACCAATATTTTAATAGAAAATATAATTAAAATATTTTAGTAGAAAATCACCCAAGGGCCACATTAAAGGTCTTGGGGGGCCGGATCTGGCCCCCGGGCCTTATGTTTGACACCTGTGCTCTTCTGTATACAGTCTGTGGTAACCATAGACCGTGGTGGTAACCATGGTGACAACTAGAGCCCGACTGATATGGATTTTGTTGCGGCCGATATGAAACCGATATAATGGGAGTTGGTGCTGCCGATAACCGATATAATCGCCGATATATTTAGTGATGTCAAAATTCACTGTAAATCTTGAATTGTTTAAAAAACTTAGGTTTGGCTCTAGTGGATTCTAAATTGGGTTTATTTAGGCAACATTTATTGTTGTTCTGCCTCTTTATATCGTATTTACAGACAGTAGATTGGCCTAATGGTATTTTTGCATCACAGTCTAGCTACTAGTGATGGGTATTCCAGTTTTTTTTTTTTTTTTTTTTTGGAGAACCGGCTCTTTTGGCTCGGCTCACTAAAGCAGCTGGCTCTTTCAGCTCCCAAGCGACTCTTGAAATTGTTTTGTTGCAAGCAAGACTAAACCAGAACTGAACCAGGACTGAAAAAGGACTAAACCAGGACTAAAACAGATTTAAACCATGTGTAAAACAGGTCTAAACCAGAACTGAACCAGGACTGAATGTCAGGACTCGGTCTCTCCCTCACTCGAGCCCAAGATTAGTCCTGGTTTATCCATTTTATGCTGAACTGCAGCCAAATATGCACTTTTTTTTTTTATCCTGTGCACACGCAGATTTCTGAAAGTTTCGTTTTCAGCCGCTGCTGCTGTCAAACTACGGCTCTACAAGTGGCTTGAAGAGAAAAAGTGAGAAAAAGAGAAAACACGGCTCCCAATAAGAAACATGCTCCCATTGTTCTCTTCAAAGAGCCGGATCTAAGAGCCGCTTCGATCGCGACCTACCCATAACTCCTAGCTAGTAAATAAACTACTGCTATTAGCCTTTAACCGTAAAAACGTGCGCGCCACAGTAATTAATTATATGCATAAATGTGGATCATTCACACGTCTATTCACAGCTCATTTACATATCAGTGCTGGTCCAGTAACAAATATACGGCCAATGTAGTCACTTTACAATAGACCAATAGAAAACAGCCTGTTTATGTGCAGGAGCTACAGCAGCTAATCGCTAATAACAAATAGCCAAAACTAGCTTCAAAGTCGATGTATTTCCAACACTCACCGCTCACACAGGCTCCTCCTCACATCACAAGTCTGCAGTAATAAAAGTCCTTTTAATCCAGACTCAAACCGATTGTCGTAAAAAGAATATAATCTCAGTGTTGTGCACATGGATCTATGTCTGCGGCTGTAAACAAACACATGTGACTCTGTGGTGTGTTCAGGGACAGTACGGACACACACAGACAAATTACACCGCAGATAAATACTGATGCGGAGCCACATACTAGGACATTTATTTGTCTGTAAATTGGATTAAATGAACATAATGTAGAGAGTCTAAACTTTATAACGAGGTATAACATGCCCACGTGAAATATCGGCCGATAGCCGATATGTCTCCAGGTGCCAATATCGGCCAGCCGATATATCGGTCGGGCTCTAGTGACAACACTGAGGCTTCAGTGTATTTACGGGGACAGGTCATTGATCCGTCATGGACTGGGCCATTTGGACATTTTAGACTAAAACGATAATCCACTAAATCCATCAGAAATGTGGTGAAACGTGTCTGACTACTTTGAAAAGTCTATCAGATTGGACAAATTGGGGCTAGGAATCAGAGTCCCTCACAATTCCATGCACGGCACAATATCACAATTTTGCAATACATGTGATACTGAATATTCCACATAATATTTTGGGAAATATCTCCTTTATTTTTATTGTCATTTCTTTTAAATATACAAACTCAACAGTATTTCTTTGTTGGAGCATTAGCTGAACAAACTTGACATGAAATACAGACATTTTAGTGATCAAATTAAAACTTTTTAAATGGGCTCTTTTTGCAGCATTTTGACACTTTTTCTTTTCTTTTTTTTTTTTTTAAATAAAGAATATTCTGAAATTTTAAATATTACATATTTTCAAAACAACATTCACAATATGTTGATACATTTCCCAAATACCCACTCCTCTGAATGGAGACTGGACACACTCTTTGTAACTATCTTTCTTTCAAATTCATTTGGTGTCACTTGTTTCTGCAGCAAAGGGAAGGCTCCCCGACGGCCCGCCCCAAAGAGGAGTCCAAATGTGGAGAAGGATCCTGTGGGAGTGAGTACAGTACATTTCTACATGACCAGTCAAAAGTTTGGACGCATTCTTTTTCAATGTATTATTTCTTAAAAGAATGAGAGAACTTTGCACATCAATTACTAGAGATGGGTGCCTTGGAGGAGAGGGAGCAGCCCAAGAACATAGAGAAAAATCCCGCACACCGTTTTACTTGCAAATTGTGAGATTTATTAGGACAAACCGTGCAACGATTCGGCACTAGGCCTTCGTCAATTTGCAAGTAAGATGGTGTGTGGGATTTTTCTCAGTGTATTATTTTCTGAAATGTCCTACTTTGTAGATATAGGCATTATGTAGTTAAGAAAAAAGTGATGTAACTCAACTAAACAAACTAAACAGCTTTGTTGACACTGCAAACATTTAGCCTTCTTTTAATGAGCTTTCTGATGAAGTCTCCTGAAATGATTTTAAATTGTCAGGGAGAGTCAAGAAATGCCAAAAGTGCAAACCAGAGATCAGAGCAAAGGGTAAAGGCTATTTAAAAAAAAAAATCTTGTATCTAAAACAAGTTTGGAGTTATTTTGAGTGTATTGTTTGTTTACTGTATTCCATATGTGTCATTCATAGTTTTGATTCAGTGAGACTCTGCAGTCTAAATAATCATGGGAATAAAGAAACATAAATGAGAGTGTGTCCAAATATTTCCTTGATAATGTATGTATTGCAGCTGTAACTTCAGACCTTTTGTAAATCAGAAGGCCAAGGCTTTATGGGTTTATAGTCGACACCTACAAGCGTATTTTGGGGCGGATCAGATGCTCTTTCACCCTTTGCTAAAGTTTTTCATCTGTAAAGGTATACTGCCGAATCCGTCCTCTGGGAATGGATGATCAGGAATGCTGTGTTGAAATGATCAGTAACACCACCATTCAGCTGCATGCTCCGGATGGACTAAAGGCCAACCGTAATGGAGAATACAAAGAGGTAAAGAGTCACAAATAAACATAGTCCAGGTGACCTGCGCCATATATCATTCTGTCTTTTCTTCTTATTAGATGCAGTACTCCTTCAAAAAAGTATTTGGTGTTAATACCAGTCAAGTGGAATTGTTTGAGGATGTAGCCAAGCCTCTGGTTGAGGACCTTATCCACAGCAAAAATGGTGAGTACTTATTTTAAATATCAAAACTCAAATTTACCACTTTGTACCATTTGTTTTATTTCAGACAGTCCCTTTTTACACCGTATTTTTCAAGTATATCCAATACTTTTATCATATTCAATATTATACAGGTATATATCTCAGAATATTAGAATACTGTGAAAAAGGTAAAATTGGGAAGTCATGGTGTCACACCTTAATCAGCTAATTAACAGAAAACGCCTACAAAGGTTTCCTGAGCCTTTTAAATGGTCTCTCAGTCTGGGTCAGTGGGCTACACAGAAGAAGCTGGTTATTCAGAGTGCTGTATTACTTTGTAGTTTTCAAATGACAAGGTTATTAATTAATTGCAATATAACAAAACTCTCTCCCCATACGTCTTGCAGGTCTGCTGTTCACATACGGTGTGACTGGAAGTGGAAAAACCTTCACCATGACTGGTTCACCTGGAGAAGGAGGACTCCTCCCTCGGTCCTTGGACATGCTTTTTAACAGCATCGGCCCCTTTCAGGCCAAAAGATTTGTATGATTCTTATACAATACAGACCAGTTTTTAAGATTATTAATACATTACAATGCAAACATTAAAGCCAGTTGTAAATCATAACTTCTTAGGTTTTCAAGCCAGATGATAAAAATGGGATGGACATCCAGGACACTGTGGATGCTCTCTTGGAAAGGCAAAAGCGAGATAGCCAACAGCCAGCTGTGCCCAAGACTCCTTCGAGGTACACACTATTTAGGCCAATTTTACTTAGAATTGTATCAATGATTCTGTCCACAGTGCACATTTGAAACATTTTAAGAGAGCAATAAAAGACCAATCTTAATTCCAAGTATAGTGGATAAAAGTAGCTATGAACAGATCCTTTCTTATCCCTGTCTTTTTGTGTTTGTAGGCAGAAGGCAGACCCTGAGTTTGCGGACATGATCAGTGCAGAGGAGGCCTGTAAATCAGACAGTGTAGATGAAGACTGCTGTTACAGTGTCTTTGTGTCATACATCGAAATCTATAACAACTACATCTATGACCTTCTCGAGGAGGCTCCGTTTGACCCAATCAAACCAAAGTAAGATTCTACCATGTCTTTTCACTAATGGCCACTGAATGATGTCTTTTCACATGTATAACTGGATCACAGTAGTGATGGGCAATACGCTTCTCTTAATATAAAAGTGCACTACATAACTTATGATGGAGGGTGTGCTTTCTTTCTCTGTATGAAGTAGATGTTCTACAGTATGCTGTTCAAATTTTCCATTTCTATGGAAACAAGCAATTGATGGCACAGGCCTGGAAATAGGTCATATCTGTGAGGAGACAACCTTCCTCACAATAAGACTGCATAGTTCTATTTTTCAGTTAAACACCTGGGAATAAATAGATAAAAAAATGTTTAATGCCACACTGCAGAACATTCTATGCAACAAGGGAAACAAGTAGGTGACAGAAAATGTACATTGTGCACGTTGTACCACTTAGGTTGTATGTAAACTAGGGATGGGCATTCAATGAAATTTTCTTAATCGATTGTCGGAAGAATTAACGATCGATTATCGATTAATCATTAAAGTTTTTATATTAAAATGATCATTATTATTACTATCTGCACTACTAATCTGCATAAATAAATTAAACTTTACGACATATAAACATAACCACTCTAGAGCCACATCAGTCCTTTTGAGATTATAATGTGTTTAATTCAGTTTTGTTCAACTCTCACAGAAACAAAACTTAAAACCACATCGCTAATTTGCATAAACTAAGCGAAGATAAAACTACAGCTCTTGTGTCGCTGATGCGGTCAATTTCTGTCGGATTAAAAGACATGACTCAGGTGAATACAGGTTAGTGTGACCAGATTTGTGTTTGTCAAAACCAGGACACCGTACAGGGGGAGGGAGGTGGGGACTCATCATCAACATTGCGCGACGCTCACCTGGTAAAGCTTTTTCCCACTGGACACCGAAACGTATGTGCTGCTTTATACACTGTGCACATGGACTCACACTTGTCTCGAACGCAACGGAAAGCGTGGAATTTCTTGAACAAATCATCGTTAAATATGCATTTGTGCTTCGGTACATTACAGACTGACTGAATGTTTGTGTCTCGCTCCTTCTGATGCAGAGACACATGTACAGACTCCTGTTTGGTCACACTACACACAGCAACCTACGTTCGGTTTGTCGATTAAAATTAACGTAATCGATGAAATTCTTAATGATCAATAATCGATTAATCATGCCCATCCCTAATGTAAACCACACCATATTTCCCATCACTACTTTTTGGCCTTCGAATTCTCTTTAAAAGATTCATTCTTACACCTTGTTTTTGTCAGGTGGCTTGATGGTGGCACTCCTGTGCGAAACAAAGAGTTCATGTATGTGGTGCACCACACTGTCTGTAGCCTTAACATGGCTGTAGCTACTCCCATAGTCCATCCACCCCATGAATCTAAACCCGCACGTAGCTTCACTTACTGGCATAACTTGCTTTGGTGGCTGTCTCTGCGGTCTATTATAAGTGATACTTTCTCCAGTGTGTTCTTCATGTGTGGTTTGTATGTGATGGCTTAATCTGAACTAGGCCCTGTGCATGTGTGTTGATGCAGATTCCTCCCTGTGTGTGTGTGTGTGTGTGTGTGTGTGTTGTGTGTGTGTGGTGTGTGTGGTGTGTGTGTGGTGTGTATAATAGTGATGTATTGTTGAACTTGTTTTAGACCTCCACAGTCAAAGCTCCTGCGTGAGGACCAGAACCATAACATGTACGTGGCTGGGTGCACTGAGGTGGAAGTAAAGTCCACTGAAGAGGCTTTCGAAGTCTTTTGGAAAGGTATTGTTCTCAACAATCTTTTTTAATATATTACCTGTTAATCATAAACCACTCTTATCAGGGTCTGTAATTCTTGCTCTTAGTATAGCGGTTTATGTCTTCTTTAAAATAGTAAGGTTTGTAAAATGTAAGGACAAAAAATATATAAATGGAAACCCTAACTTAAAACAAAGAGGTAAAACTGTGCAGCCCTAATCTTGTATACTTGTTCTGGTGTTGATGTCTTCAGTATTTGTCCATTCCCATTAAATATACATATTGAAAGTGTCATCTTCAGTAAAATATTGATACTTCATAAAAAATAACTTTCTTTTAATTCAAGATACAGAAGTGATAGAATATTAATATTTTATTAACATTACTGATTTCAGGTCAGAAAAAAAGGAGAATCGCCAACACTCAGCTGAACCGTGAGTCGAGTCGCTCCCACAGCGTGTTCACACTGAAGCTGGCTCAGGCGCCTCTGGACGCAGACGGAGACCACATCCTGCAGGTGTCACTATTTTCCTGTGCTCCTTGTGGAGCTTCTTTAGGCCTGTTTTATGTGTCTTGGCTGTGTTAGGGCTCTGGGACTCTGGGATGTTGACACTGATGCCTCCTCGTTCACAGGACAGAAACCAAGTGAGCGTGAGTCAGCTGTGTCTGGTGGACCTGGCAGGCAGTGAACGCACCAACAGGACCAGAGCTGAGGGCAGCCGCCTCAGGGAAGCTGGTATGGGTCGCTCTCCAACTAAAATTGGTGGTTCTATGGCATTTTTTTTTTTGTAAAGTTGGCAAAAGATTCCTTCTTAATTTAAGGGATTTAGGACGACTTTTTCCCCATTCAAACTAAATATTCAAACTGGAAAGTATAAATGGTTTAATCCCAGTGAGGTATGGGCTTTGAGATAAAGAGACGCAGACAGATTAAATATGACCTGTTACTTGCATAAGAGGATGTATTGGAACATAACTATTGCATAGTATTGATTAGGGATGGGCATTCGATGAAATTTTCTTAATCGATCGTCGGAAGAATTAACGATCGATTATCGATTAATCATTAACGTTTTTATATTAAAATGATCATCATTATTATTACTATCTGCACTACTAATCTGCATAAATAAATTCAACTTTACGACACATAAATCGTAACCACTCTGGAGCCACATCTGTTTGACATTATAATGTGTTTAATTCAGTTTTGTTCAACTCTCACAGAAACGAAACTTAAAACCACATCACTAATTTGCATAAACTAAGCGAAGATAAAACTCCAGCTCTTGTGTCGCTGATGCGGTCAACTTCTGTCAGATTAAAAGACATGACTCAGGTGAATACAGGTTAGTGTGACCAGATTTGCGTTTGTCAAAACCAGGACACAGTACGGGGGGAGGGGGACGGGGCCTTGTCATCGACATTGAGCGACTCTCACCTGGCAAAACTTTTTCCCACTGGACACAGACACATATGTGCTGCTTTATACACTGTGCACATGGACTCCCACTTGTCCCGAACGCAACGGAAAGCATGGAATTTCTTGTGCAAGTCATCGTTAAATATGCATTTGCACTTCGGTACGTTGCAGACTGATCAAGTGTTTGTGTCTCGCTCCTTCTGAGTGCGGAGAGCTACATGTACACACCTGTTTGGTCACATTACACACAGCAACCTACATTCGGTTTGTCGATTAAAATGAACGTAATCGATGAAATTCTTAATGATCAATTATCGATTAATCGACTAATCATGCCCATCCCTAGTATTGAAACAGACTCATTGCATGTGTAAATGTCTACCTCTCCAGGTAACATTAACCAGACTCTGATGACACTCCGAACGTGTATGGAGGTGCTGAGGGAAAACCAGCTGTGTGGGACTAATAAGGTTTGATATAAGGGTATTTCTCTTTTGTCAAATCCATACTATGTGACGCTTAAAGGATGTTTGTATTTCAGATGGTACCTTATAGAGATGCCAAAATAACCCATATCTTTAAAAACTACTTCGACGGTGAGGGCAAAGTCAGAATGGTTGTATGCGTCAACCCAAAAGCAGATGACTATGAGGAGACCATGGTAAGGCACCTCCAGAATCTACAAAATTGACTTTTCAGAGCTTTTAATCATGTTAGAATTGTTTCCCCTCACCATTTACACTCCCAAAGTTGAGTAATATTTAATCACTTATTTTCAACACTCCATGTTGCTGATCAACCCTACTTATTTACTCCAATTTTATTTTCTTAATCTGTGATACACTCCCCCACATAACTGTCTGGGGGGGAATTAAATCAGTGCTTTCTGAGCCTCAGACTACAAAGTAAACCAGACGAATGAACAAGGGTTAAACTAGACACAATTTGCACAACATGAGAGTGAATAAATTGTGTCTTAATTCACAATTTTGTCTGTAATTGTAGCACTGTTTTTTGGAACTAGTTTCTCAAGAACTCAAACTCCCCAGCACTTAAAGGTCCTATATTACACAAAATTGATTGTTGTGATCCTTAAGCCATATTATAATGTTGTTACCTCATCAAAAACATAGTGTTTTGATTTTGTAACCCTTTATTATTCTCAAAATGCTCTGTTCCACCTTTGTGATGTCACGAAGTGGTAGTTTTCAAATTAACAGCTCCTTTTACCGGTACCTTTTAGTTCAGTTAAGATGGTCAATTCCGGGGCTGAAATCATCCAAATGATTCTAGTGAAGGTGTATAGAGTTTAAAAACATGTGGTAATACAGGAAGTGTTCACCCATCTCAAGGTGGAACAAAATGTTTTCTGTTTGTACTCGCTTAAGTCGGCTGGGTTTGTGTTAAACGTGTGAATGAAACAAAACACAGGTATAATTTTGATGACAAAACATAACATAGACCAAGCAATAATGACGTATGGGCCCTTTGAGACACCAGATCTCATCCCTATTAATCAAACTCACATCTGTGGCTGGGAAGAGGGCCTTTAGCAATTTCCTGTCTGTCCTCAATAACTCTCAGCACCCCCTGCACATCACCATCACTGGACAGGAGAGGACCTCTGGGGACAGGATGTTGTCCTTGTTCTGCTCCCAAACACACTTTGGAAGTTATTTGTGCCATATGGCTACACAACACTTATAAATACTATAAATTTTATTATTATTATTATTACCTGAAAAATGTATTTCTTTCAGGATAATAAACTATTATCTATCTAATAAAATAAGTGTGAAAGCAAAACACAACCCTCATAACTTTTTTTTTATATGAAGACAATAGAGTAGGAGATTTATTTACCCTGTTGACATGTTTTGGCTGTTAGCTGCAGGCCATCTACAGAACTGTCACTGCTGTTGGTGGTGACAGGTCGATATCAGCCGTTATTTCCTGTAGACATGGTCAACCTGATGGACTTCCTGATGGATCGCTCCTTATCACATGGTTAAAAACTCACTGTCCATTTAGCATGTTCTGTATAAAACACTCACAGACTCACTCACAATTATGTAAAGTCATGTATAAATGTAAAACTTTGTGTGGTGCAGTTGGTGATGCGCTTTGCTGAGATGACCCAGGAGGTGGAGGTGGCACGGCCCGTCGACCGGCCCATCTGTGTTCTGGCCGCTGGGCGCCGACACAGAAACCAGGCCTACAAAGAGGAGCTGAGCAGGAGGCTGGAGGAGAGAGCAGCGGCCACTGCTGGTAATGCTACAAGTCACACACGTTTGCAGCACATCTTGAGCAGTCTCTATAGTCTCTATTCACACTTGCATCACAAACCAGGAAGACGTTTGGAAAGATGCGATTACAACTTCTGGCGGCCTTTGTTCACGGTAGTACGTCTTACAAAATCTAGTTAAAATTTGAAAATGTCCCAGTTTTCTTCATCTCCATGTCATTGTAGCATTCCGTTATGTTCGGCTCATTAACAGTTCCAACCATCCCTCAGTTTTCATCATTTCCCCACTGACACAACTCCGAGTGCACTGGGTACATGTGATTAGAAGAGATGAGGCGCCAAATTCAGACTGTGACTAAAATTGGTCTAATATTTCTAAGCTGACTGATAGTGGTAGTGACTGTTGTGCACAGCCGTATGTGTTTCTCAGAAGTGTGTGTGCTCCTGTAGTGGACGACCCACTCCTGCTCACTCAGCTGATTGAGAGCCTGCCCCCACTGCCCCCCTGCACGCTAGTCGACCCTGCTGATGATCAGCTGCTGCCTAACCTCATCCAGGTCCTCGAGAAGAGGCTCCACATCCGCCAGATGCTGACTGAGCAGTTCAACAAGACCGGTACAGCCTCCCCTCTGGCTTTCACGCTTTTCTTTATTGAAAAAAATAACTGTCACGTCCTGCCACATTTGGATGCTTACTTCATCCTGTCCTGTTTCTCATTGTTCCCTCTGTCCTGCAGCTAATATCATTCGATCCACGCTGGACCAGTTTGGCTCACAGGTCAATGTCAAAGAAGCCCTGATCCACAGCCAGCAGAGTAGACTGGGTGAAAAGGAGAAACTAATCCTCAACCAGAAGACTGAAATTGAGCGCTTAGAAAAGAAGTCAAAGACCCTTGAGTATAAGGTAACATTTAGCATTAGCACTGACATGTAGAGAACACATAGACTGGGCACTGAAGTATAAATGTCTCTTATTTAGATTGACATCCTGCAGAAGACCACAGACATGTACGAGCAGGACAAGCGCTCCCTGGAGCAGGAGCTGGAGACCCGGGAGCAGTGCCTGCAGAGGGAGCTGACAGAGCGCAAGCGCATGCAGGGCATGGTGGCCGACACCAAGCTCAAGTGGGAGAAGGAGTGTGTAAGGAATGATTTCATACTCTTCCATTTGTTAGGCTTTAGACACTAAAATGTCACCATGTGCCCAAACTTGTCAGTTTTGGACTATAACAGCTAGGGATGAGACTTGTGCCACAAGTTTTCCTGAGACAAAATTGCTATGAGATGTGCAGATGTGCTCAGTATGAACTTGTGAGATTTCTTTCCCCCCATGTTTTTATGTTTGAATTGGATAACAAAATGAAGTAAAGGTGAATTTAATATTTTTGAGAAGTTGTAGTTCCGAAAAGCACTGCAGCCAATAATGGCAACAATATAAAGTAAAAAAAAAAAAAAATGGTGAGGCCAAAATTGGGTTGCACAATTTATTTATTATAAAGAATATAAAATCTCGTCTTGTCTTGGGCTTGTAGATCCAGTCACGTGTCTCGTTTTGTAGAAACTGTATCTCCTCCCACCCCTAATAACAGCCTGTGCAAATGCTTTCAGGAGGTTTCCTTTAGAGGGTCACACATCCCATTTAAAATAAATGGTAGGGCCCTGTGTCTCCAGAGTGTGGTTAGGGCTGTCATGTCATACTGAAGATAGTTTATTATAGCTATTCAGCCATTCAGAGGAGTGCATCAACTACTCACTAGGGCCAAGCTGAATTCTTGATGTCTTGTCAAATATAAAAAATGTTAGCTGACATAATGATGTGATAAATATTATTACTTTTTTTCACATGTATCTTGTAAGCATTAAATTACCTCATGAGCTCAATTAGAAGATGGAAGACGCCTCCTGATGAGCACTACCAAGCAGGGCCTCATGTCTGTCATAGTGTTCATGTGTGCACGTGGTGTACACTTGTTATAGTCCTGATCCTCTGGTGTGTGTGCAGGTGAGGAGGGTGAACGCTAAGCAGCTGGAGATGCAGAACAAGCTGTGGGTGAAGGATGAGAAGCTAAAGCAGCTCAAAGCCATCGTGACCGAGAGCAACAGCAGTGGAGGAGTGCAAGAGCGCCCCCAGAGGCCATCCAGAGAAAAGGACCGCACTGCCGGACAGAAGAGGTCTGCCTCCCCCTCGCCAATGCCTGTGAGTACCCACACTGCCAGCTAATCAGACTCGGAACTGTGATATGGGCTAATGCGAAACTACTAAGAAAGTTGACGGGGCCCAAAAGGTTAAACCACATGACGTAAAACCATAAACCACATCATCAGTGCGGATACAAAGGAATTTTGGGAGACAATGTTTGAGTTTTTTTTATTTTTTTTAATTAAATCTTTATGCAGGTTTTTCTCTGATTGGGAGATTCCTGATTATTCAACATGTGTCCGAATGTCCATCCAAGCCCCTAACTCGGCCCTTGATGAAAAAAAGTTTGGAGACCCCTATCTAAATGCAGATGAAGCAGAGGGTCGATCGAGGGCCGTAGACTGATGCTCAGTACAGTGAATTATTATAATTATTGTAACACATTAGAATGAGCCATCAGTCTTTATTCATGCTGTGATCTGTAAAACCACACACTAAATATTACATACTAGCCTTATCAAGGTAGATTTTCAAAAAACTTCCAGTAAAAAGTAAATTTTTAATTGATGCAAGGTAATTTGCCCAATTCACCTGGATGCCTGAGGGCCAAGAAAAATTAGTCTGAAGGCCGCATTTGGCACAGGGGCCATAGTTTGGACATGCTTGCCCTAACTCCTCACTCACTACATAGCCCAGTGTTATTTAGGGGACCAAATTGGACCGGCACACAAGTACTTTTATTATTCTTTTATTCATTTCTTTCTTTAAGGGTGTAGTATAGAGTATGTGTAAAAGTAACTAGAAAAGTTATTTATTTAGGCCTTACTGTACTGAATTTAAGGACAGTATACTACAATGGCTTAAATAAACAGTGGGTTTTGGTGCGAACAAATGAAAATTTTAGGCACACCAGTGTACCCATCTCAAATCTTTAGTCTGGAATCCTGCTTAAGAAGGGAATAGTGTGGACATTGGGATACAGCCATTGTAAATTTGCATGTCTTTGAACCACCATTTTGGATTTCATCTTGTTGATAACCCCCACGTCTTTCGGGCCCAAATGCATGTGAGCGGCACTAATGAGGGCTGTGCCTTGTGTCTGTAATCATGTGTCTGTAATCATGTGTGTGTTCTTTTGCTCTAACCTTCACTGAACTCGGGCACCATTACTTTTCAGGAGCACAGCCAGACCCCCTGTCCCCCACCTCACCGCTCTCACTCCCGAGCAGTGCAGGTCTCCCCCCTCCCTCCCCCTCCTCCAGCCCCCCGTTCTCCTCGCAGCGCTCCGTGGCCTCCTGCATCTCTCAGTGGGAGCAGAGGTGTCCAGTGGAGGCGCAGAGCAGGCAGGGCACTCCCCAGCACAGAACGCCCGTGTGCAACAGTGTGGGGCGCAGGAGAGGCCAGCGCTGGGCTCCGGGCTCCCAGGCCCCGGCCACGCCCCTGGGGATAGAGGCAGGCACCAGGGTCAGTGTCAGAGTGCTACTGTAGGCTTCTGTTAGACCGTGTTTAAAGAGCATGTGACAGGTTTTCATGTTTTTCTAATTCTCACTTGGTTTGGTGGATAGTTCCTGTGGTAAACATTTATCACAGTTTTACATCAGTTAATTGTAGTTGAAGTATAAAAGTACAGGAAACACTGGAGAGTTCTAATTACAATATCCCTGCATTTGGTTGGAATTTCAAACACATTTTTCTGACAATTGAAACCTTCTTTTAACAAAATAAAGGTTTTGTCTAAATTGTGAAATAGTTATGGGTAGAGTAATACAAATAAATGACACATTTTGGCCCTTATTATCATTAAAGGTCCAATATTCTGTAAAATTGACTCTTGTGAGCTTCAAGCCATGCGACAATGTTGTTCCCTCCTCAAAAAGGTACCTGGTGTTGTTTTGTTTTATGTTTGGAGATGTAGAGGGAGATCAGGATTACTCAAAGCTCAAATTGCTCTATTTCACCTTGTGATGTCATGCTGTGGTAGTTTTCAAGTGAACAGCTCCTTTTGTGTTTAGTTCAGTAGAAATTTGCAACCAGGGCTGAAATCATTCAAATAATCTTAGTGAAGGTGTGTGGAGTTTAAAAGCACATTGAATCACTTCTTGCATTACCACATGACATCACAAGGTGGAGCTGATTGTTCTGTTTGAGAAATGAAATGTGTAGGATTTGTGTGTTTAAAATGTGTGAATGAAACAAACTACAACTCCAGGTCTGTTTTGTAATGAGGAAACAACATTTCAGCATAGATCAGGAAATAGTGTTTTTTCTATAATATAAAAAGTAACAGAATTACCTCCTGTGTATGATGAATCTGCTGCCTGTGTGTACATTTTTAAACTTGACAAAAGGGATTTCAAAGGGATTTCTATACATTTTTTGATTCTTAAATATAATTATAACTGCCTTAGTGAAATGAGTAGTCTAACCTGTCATATGCACTTTAAGCTGTAGTTTGTAGCTTTGCACATTGAGAATTCTGCCTCTGCTTGTTGTAGCTTGTTGTAGTATTTCTCCTTAAAAAAAAAAAAAAAAACCTTCTGCAGTCCTTGTACTGCTGTAAAAATGACATTTGAGTTCTCATAAACTTGAACAACTGCTTGTTTATTAGATTCATACAAGCCATTCACTAGCGTTTCTGTATAAGCGTGTATGATGCATCTGGATTCAGATCAGAGCAGGAGAAAAAAACAGCCGCTGTCACATCACAACTTATGTCAATGTCTAATTTTCCTCTTATTATTATTGCTAAATACTACTGTTGCATACATAGACTAGTGAACCAGCTCTACACATTTCAGACCATTTCTTGCCTGCACACCTTGCTGATTTTATTTATTTATTAATTTTTTGCATGCTTTGCTTTCTCCTAATTTGTTGTACTAGTCATAAGCACAAGTGTATCGCTGGAGAGTTAAAGTATATCAAGAACTCCACTTAAATTGGACAATAGAATGTTATTTTCAACATTAAATCATAGCACTTTTATATTATCGCCTTTTTTTTTTTTTTTTTTTACATTTTGAGACCCATGGATAACCAGTTCATTTCATGGATTTATACAAAATGTGAACAAAATCTCAAGCATTCTGTTAAAGGAGTCAAAAGTATCAAAAACTAATACATACTAAAGATGGTATCAAAACTAGATGCTCAAGTGGTTGTCAATACTAAAAAAAGTCAATCACAGGTCAGAAAAGAACCTGAATGTCTTTAAAATGATCTTTAGCTGTATCAGAATAAGTATAAGAGCACATAGACTAGTAAGTATCAGTATCAGTATCGAGTCTATTTCTTAGTGTCGAAATGATTAGTAAATGTAGGCTGCCTGAAAAGTACATTTTCTTTCAAAATTTACTTAAGTAAATGTAACTGAGTACTAGCCACATTCTATCGTCTAAAGTTTTTTTTTTTTGCCAAATTGGTATTGAGTGTATTCCTTAGTACTGAAATGATTGAAATTGAAATGAAACACTTTTCTGTTAAGTTCAAATCTCCAGCAGTACACTTCCAGACTAACCTTAATCTTCACCTTTTAATCTTCAACACGTGGTGAATAATTGTGGGTGTTTCTGTGCACTTGAATCAGCCGATCCCCGTGCACCCCACACACCGGCGCTCTCACTCGTGCGGGGCCGAGAAGTGGGTGGATCACAAGCCCAGCACAAACCTGGAGCTCGACACTGTCATGCAGCCCATCGTCCACAACGCCATCACAGTGTCCAGCCCCAACGAGAAGGCTCTGGCCAAGTGCCGCAAGTACATGCTCAGGCACCAAGAGCTGGCCTCGGACGGGGAGATCGAGACCAAACTCATCAAGGTACAGCGCTCTCACTCAACCCACTCACCCACACACTCTGACCCGCGGAGGAGGCGACTCAGGGACGGGACCAAGGCTGCACAGGCTTCTGTCCAAACTTATTGGTTAAACTTTGACAGTGTTTGTTAATGTGTTTCTTTTGTCGCCATGTCTCCAACTGCTGAACATTCCACCACAGAGATGCATGAGGGTGCTACTCCAAAGTATCAATATAGGTGAAACTGGAATCCAAAAAGCTTTAAGTAATGGAACTCTAGTGGACGTTTTTAACATCCATAGTCAAAAAACATGACCTAACTGTTCACAGATATGAGATAAAAACACATCAGATTTAGCTTTTGCTGATCTTGTAATGCTGACTTCTTAATGACAAAAACAATCCTAAAGAACCTAGTTGTTATAATTGGATAATAAAATGTCTCTGATCTGAATGGTCACAATCTAAACCCCAGCACCTGCACCAGTCCTGAGTCAGTGCTAGTGCAGCCTCTGCAGCTCTGGGAGGGAATTCTGGAGGTTTTGAGCTTCACATGAGGCCCGGTCTGCTCATAATGCCCTGCATATAGAGGACACATCCAAGTTTGTCTCATTGTCAGTATAAGGCTCTGGTGACACAAGTTCAGTTGTGATTGTAGTGTAAAAAAACTAACAAAACTGTAACTACACCAGTTACATACCGTTCTTTTTAAGGCTGGAAAAACTGAACTGAATGGAAAAAAATCACTCACATTTAATCATTTTAATGAGCACTTTGGTTTGTCAGTATACAATAATAAAAAAGAGATGCAGCATGACAGAAGTATAGAGCTAATTCGATCCTAATTAGACCAGTTAACACTGGTGGTAACAGCTTTTCATGTTTACTCTCATATCACCTTTTTTCACACCATGTAGAAATAAATAGCCTGGTCTTGTTTTGTTGTGTTCAGGGTGACGTGTTCAAAACCAGAGGAGGAGGACAGGCTGTGCAGTTCACAGACATTGAGACTCTCACACAGGAGGACCCCGCGGGCCCCAGGTAACCTGCACTGTACTCACACTAAAGCATGACTTTGACTTCTGTTTAAGTTCTAGCTTATAACTCATGCTTTGGTTTTCCAGCCGAAAGAGGCGATCGGGGTCAGCAGAGTCCCTTCAGATGGATGACAGAGAAAACAGAGTAAGCATGAGGGCAAAATGGAAATTGGTGTCACATTTAGAGCCTATAATAACGATCTGCTCTTTGTTCCTTTAGCCCCCTGGGACGAGTTCATTCCCTGTGCATCAGAAGTAAGTTTAATGTCAAATACCAAGTGTTGAAATATCACCACCAATAATGGCAAAACCTTTTGTTAAAACAATGCAGGCATTTTTAGAGCTGTCACTGTTAACACAGGAACTCATGCGATTCATCCAGAACAATCCACACATAAAATATGAACTAACAATAAATAAATCACAGATCTCTTCTCACCAAACACCCCCTGTAAATTAAACTGCAATGACCTTCACTGAGATCCTGAAGTTAAATGATCAGAATAAAGTAGCCTTGTTTCCATAAGGCCAGTATGAACCAAACTCTGCCAACCTTGGTCTCCTTGGTTCCTGTGGTGTATACAGTATATTCAGTGTGGAGCACGTGTACACAAAGATGCAGCCAAACGAGAGCGTGTGAAGTTCTCCATAATCCTCCTCCTCAGTCCAGGTCCCGCGCACTAAAAGCGTAAAGTCATTTACCATAACAAGAACATGTGCTCCACAGTGATGTCTCTACTTCTATGGAGAAAACAAAAGTGAAACTTAAACACATGTCTGCTGGTTCATTTGCACATTTGTTTGGAGTTCTATTTGCACATGGATCAGAGACTGACCTGTGGGACGCCCAAAGTAAAATTAAGAGAATGTGACAACATCGTTCAGATTTAGATTTTTACACACTCCAAATTGGGCTGCTGCTTAATGCTTAATAAATCTAATGTGGTTTTAGAGTTGGAAAAAACAAACGGTGATCTGTAATATATTTGATTTAAACATGTTTCCTTTATGTCTGCAGATGCAGATGAAATGTAAAACCTACCTTTTCATATGGAGACTGAACAGTTTTGTGCTTTGTTTAAGGCGGAGGAAGCAGTGAGCTGCTGCTTGACCACACAGATGGATCTTCTGGGCCTCTTCCTGCTGCAGTCCACAGGAGACGCTCCAGAGCAGATGTGTGGTGTGAACTATGCATTACCCTGAAGGCATTACAGTGCAATTTTAACTTATTGATTTCTAAGATTTTGGCCAAGTAGCCCTGAATCCTTTTAGTGTATTCTGTTCAATCCTGTTTTCTTTTTGTGTTCCTAATCTTTAGTGGTGGCTCTATTTTACTGTAGCTTTTAAATCCATTCTGCATCCACCCAAAGAGTGCACCTCTTGCCTCATGTCAAGAGATGCTTTTTGTGAAAATGGCTTTTGTGTTGGCTTAATGGACTCTTTGAATGAGGAAAAAAAGAATGGCTTCATGCTGGATGTACTTTTTACATGTGTATATATTCAACATCTGTGTAGATGTAGCACCTGCTCTTTTTGATTTAGACATTTGTTTGGATTTAATCTTTTCATGTTTGTGTGAATACATTTAATCTTTTCATGTTTGTGGGCCGTGTGTGAGTCTTATGTGTACATAATTTCGATTGAGATGCATTTTTCAGCTTTTACTACGGCATGACTTAAAAGCTAGAAGCATTCAGGAGGTGTTCAGACCGAAGTGAAGCAGGGAGTAGACAGAGTAGTTGGGGAACCACATTATTATAGAACCAGGATAGAGTTTTGTGGAGGATGGAATAGCGGTTCTTAAATGTCTTGGCTGGCTTAATCATCAATATAAAGTAGAGTAAAGTTGCCACACCAAATCTCTACCAAACCGGTTTATAGCTACAAAAAGCCTGTAGAGAGCACTAACATATATTACAAAACAAATAAAGAGGGTATTATGCAAAATCAACTTCTGGGGCTTTCTATCCTGTTATAATGTTCCCTCAACAATGCCTGAAGATGTTTTAGATGTTGTCCATGTATGTTTGAATAATTTAGCAATCTCTCCCGGGCTCTATTCAAGCCTACAGATATAGAACAGTAGATCTCGCATGGACTACTGCTGTTTATTGGAACGAATGTGTCAACAAGCCGCCATCTTGGTACAGAGTCATGCTGCTTAAAATGAATGAACATCACTCAGGGACAAGGCCCCCTGCCCCCAGTCAAAAATTATTATTATTATTAAGGACAACCGAATATAACATTTAAAAAATACAATGATCAGCATTTAACAATTACAATAATCAGCATAAAACAACAAAAGCCCCCATCCCCCCCGACCACACACACTAACACAAATCTGGAGTAATATGGTAGTGTAAGTATTTATTGATATAGCGCTTTTCAGACATTTTCTGTCCCCAAAAACGCTGGTGATGGTAAACTATTATTGTAGCCACAGCTGCCCTGGGGCACACTGACAGAGGCGCGGCTGCCATGCCAATCAGCGCCATCGGTCCCTCTGACCACCACCATCACTCACACACACACCACTTTCATACTAGGCAATGTGGGTGAAGTGTCTTGCCTAAGGACACAATGATTGAATTAATAGTCAAGGTCAGTTAAATACAATCAACTGATCTGGAGACCTGGAGCATGTTTTGGGTTGATAGGGGAAACCGGAGCACCCAGAGGAAACTCATCCAGACACGGGGAGAAACATGCAAACTCCAAACAGAAAGGCCCAGGCGACCCGGGGATCGAACCCAGAACCTTCTTGCTGTGAAGCATGAGCGCTAGCCACTCCACCACAAAGATAAGATAACACACCGCCAGCCTACACTGACACACTGCAGCCAATTCACAACTGAAATTCCTTTTCCTTATTCCCCCCCCCCTTCCCTCTCCCATTAAAAAAATAAACTAAAACGTAATTTTCTTTCATCATTTTTTGTCATGTATTACAAACTCAAATCATAATTTTAAAGGCTTTATTTTTTTTCTTCCCTATTTTAAAATATATATTTTATACTTCCCTATATATAAACCAATATTATTTTCACCATCATCATTTTCCTTCATCATCTGTCACCATCCGTCACAATCTCAAAGCATGATCCTTAAGGCATTTCTATTCATTTATTTATTTATTTATTCATCTAACACTCTTTATGTTAAGATCCTACTTTACAAATGCTCCTACAAGATAATAAATATAAAAACATGATACAAAACAATACACTACAACTTCACAAATCTGATGCAATGTGCAGTAGTTTTAGTGGGACGCACACTGATTGTGTTGTGAAAACATTTAGCATTTTCAAAACAATAAAAGGTAACACGGTGATCTACATATGTGTTAAAAATAAATACTCCCACTTTACAAACACAGAGGAGCAGTACTTCACGACAACAGCAGCATTTTGAGCAGACTCGGGTTCATGAAACACCAAATGGTTTGAATGAGGTATGTTTTTGACAAGGGAACATTTTTTCTATATCTCCATGAAGTTGAGCAGTGCTGAGGTACAGGTCAGATCTGTGGAAAGATAAATGCTCTCACAAAAAGAAGGTTTCTCAAATAATCAAAGCTGAGACTGAATAATTGCAAGATAGACAAGTTTATTGCAATACTAAGGAATATTTCAGGAATAGCAATAACATCTATGTGGAAAAAAAACCAAAACACTTCTGGGCATATTTACTAAACCAGGTGCTCTATAGTCTTGACACAGCAAAATACTGCACCCAACAGGAGCCTCCTCCCCTGCACCCTGTGGACCCTTAACTTTGTGATTAGTTTGCGTAGACTCGTGCATCTTAACATCACTTTTAATGCCTGGTTGGTGCAGAAACTGAAGTGTCCTCTGTTGGTATTACACCAGTGTCTGTCCAAAATAAGTTTCAAGTTTTTGCTCTTGCTGTTTTGATAAATCAAGCATCGCCCATTAAACAAACCCATCCACAGTTTCTCCTTTTTTGCGTGTTTTGGCCAGAACACCATTCATTTTGGTGCCAGACGCAAAGATGTCGATAAAAGACGCTAATCTCACTCCGTCCACTTTTAGTGCCCATTGCATTTTGCACGTGCACAAAGCCTTAGTAAACAGACCCTTAAATGTTCCTTTAAATAGGCATGCAGTGATACAGTAGTCAGTGGGAAAGAAGTGAGGCTTGAAACTTGATGCGTTTGTGGTGGTGATTTTAAATGATTAAAAACAGACCTAAACACACAACCACCATTTTTATAACATATAAAAAACACAATTGCAAGTCATAAAAATGAATGCATTTTAAATGAAAGTGGAAACAAGTGGAGACACACGGTGTAGTTCACATTTTGACCAGCAGATGGAGCCAAAATACTGCTGTAAAGACAGACGTTTGACGGCATCTACATGAGGTACTTACGTAATTGTTGCAGGAAATGTATTTAAACTATGCACCACCAGTGTTGGGAAGGTGACTTTTAAAATGTATTCCCCTACAGATTACAGATTACATACCCCAAAATGTAGTTTGTAACGTAATCCATTAAATTACTTAAAGTGAGTAACGTAATCTGAATACTTTGGATTACTTGACTTGCTGTAGAGAAGCAAAGTCTAGGATATTGTAACATAAGACTTTACTTAACCGTACTAAAAATATTATTGATAGAAGACAAGGAGACCCGTCCACGCAGCATGATTTAGTCCTGTTAAATCCTGTTTTAGACCTGTTTAGACCTGGTTTTAGTCCTGGTTCAGTCCTGGTTCAGTCCTGGTTTAGTCCTGGTTTAGTCCTGGTTTAGACCTGATTTTAGTCCTGATTTAGTTCTGGTTTGGACCTGATTTAGTCCTGGTTTTAGTCCTGGTTTAGTCCTGGTTTACACCTGGTTTACCAGAAAAAAAAAAAAAAAAAAAAAAGGGATATAGCCCAAAATGTGAAAACAGGAAAATACTTCTGTGTAATCCATTTAGTTCAACCAAGTAACTGTAATCCAATTACTACTCACTGAAACAGTAACTGTAACCGAATACAGTTACTCATAATTTGTACTCTGATTACGTAACTCTGGTACATGTAATCTGTTACTCCCCAACACTGTCGCCCACAGATGCAGACAGCTGGGAGCCCTGATCACAAGGTAAGTACTGTGTGAATCTTGTATTGTTCCCATTAGCAAGAGAATGTGCCCTCTGCATTTGACCCACCCTCCAGTGCTGCAGGTGTCCCATGAGAGCAGCACCACCCACCCCGATGAACATCAGAGGTGCTTTGTATGAGGTCATTTACTTTCTAAATGGTAAATAATGTATAAATAAATAATAAAGGTTAAAGGGCCCATATTACACTATTTTCTGATCTGTTCTAATGTCAGTTTCTCATCACTAACAGACCTAGAGTTGTGTTTTATTTCTTTCACACACATTTAACACACAAATTCTGTAGATTTAGGCCGAGTTACTCTCTCAACACTCTGTTCCACCTTGTGATGTCATGTGGTAATACAGGAAGTGCTCCACTATGTTTTTTTATGTCCATACATCTTCATTAGAATCATTTGGATCATTTCAGCCCTGCAACTGTCAGTCTCTACTGAACTAAAGATAAAAGGAGCTGTTCACTTGTAAACTACTGCTTCATGACATCACAAGGTGGAACAAAGAATTTTGAGCTTTTACTCACGTTTTTACTCAAATGTATGTGAACAAAACAAAACAACTGCAGGTATATTTTGATGAGGTAACAGCATTGTAACATGGTTTTAAAACTCATAAAAGACTAGGGGTGTCAAATTATCATGTTAATTGTGATTAATTAATTACAGTCATATTTAGCGAGTTATGTTTTTTAATCACATTTTTAATCTCTAACTTTACTGTTTCTGTAAATGCGAGTTGCTTTATTATAAAATCTGTTTTTATGTGTTGGTGGGACAACAACACAAAACCCCCCCACATTTTTTAATTTTTTTTTATTTCGGTAATTCCACTCATTGCCGGAAACCTACACAAAACGCGACAGTAAGAGCGATGTAAACGTCATGTTCATGTTGGCGGCGTCAGTCGCACAATGGACGAGGTTGAAGAGCCAGTAGAACAGAGCAGCAGTGCACAGGGAAAAACACATTTGTGTCTTGGAAATTCTTCTCCCGACGTGAAATATAAAAGAAAATAACAAATATAAAATAACAAATATAAAATCACCTACAACTTAAATGTCACTGGTGAAAACAACCTGCATAGATTCATGATGTCTGCACTACTGTCCTATAGTGACCTGAGACACGAGGGGACACGCACACAAACACACACACACACACACACACACACACACACACACACACACACACACACACACACACACACACACACACACACACACACACACACACACACACCTCTAAACCAGAACTAACATGAGGACTAAAACCAGGGGACTAACTAAACCAGGACTAAACCAGGACTAAACCAGGACTAAACCAGGTCTAAACCAGGACTAAACCAGGTCTAAACCAGGACTAAACCAGGTCTAAACCAGGACTAAACTAAACAGGACTAAACCAGGTCTAAACCAGGTCTAAACCAGGACTAAACCAGGACTAAACCTCTAAACCAGGACTAAAC